ATCGTTTTAACGTACAACATAAGAGAGTAAGAAGTTTGGTAGAACGATGCAATGCTTTATTGAAAGGACGATTCAGATGTTGTTTAAAGGATCGAGTGTTACATTATATGCCAGAAGTAGCCGGAAAAATTATAAACGCTTGTGTGCTTTTTCACAATTTGTGCATTCAAAATAACATTCCTCCGCCTGAAGATTTGGGAGAAATTAATATTTGTGATAGTACTGAAATCGTCTAGATAACAATTCAGATTATTTTGATACTTATTTTAAGAATTATTTGATGACGATGTGCATGGACCTCAAGAAGAACAAGCCGAAGCACGCGCAATAGTTATCCACCACTCTTCTGGCTTTTTTGTTGTAAAACTTCCCAGACGTCAAATCTGGATTACTTTTCACAAATTTGACCAAGATGTCTTTCTGTATTTCCGTTATTTTCATTGTATTCAATAATTAAAAGTTTTTGCGCTCGAACTTCAAAAAAATGTGTCACTTGTCAATTATTCGCTTCTCGTTTGTTCGATACATTTTAATTCCCACGGCGTTGCCACATATTTTGGTGAAATAACTCATTGGGTGAGATGTATCATCTCACAGGTTGTCAAGAGTAGACACTTATTCAAATTAGTGAAATTAAACACATGACTTTTGTCATCAGTGAGAAAACTCAGCGAAGTCAAGAGTACGGTCCCAGGTCAAATTATATGAAAGTGGTCCATATATATTAGCAGAAACTGTCTGGCGAATCCTGGCTTTTCCTATACATGAAAGATTTCCAAGGGTTTTTCATCTCGTAGTGCATTTGGAAAATGACCAGCGTGTCTATTTTAATACTAACCACTTCAATAATGTAACTGAAAATATAAGTAATAATCAACAGAAAACTACTCCTTCAACATTCTTTGATCTTTGCAAAACAGATAATTTTGTAAAAACCCTTCTTCATGTTGAAGTCTCTTCATACTATGTGTAGAAAAGTACCAAATTTGAGAGACGAAAACGTGGAAACAATGTTGATGGTTCACCGGGAGTCAAAAGAGATCCAGTTTTGGGCAGAGCGTACGCCGTCCACCCTAATGACGCTGAATGTTACTATCTTCGTCTTCTTCTTCATGAAGTGAGAGGACCAACATCATTCTCGGATTTAAAAACTATTGATGGTGCCATTTATTCCACATACCAGTCATTATGCAAAGTTTTGGGTTTGTTAGAAGATGACAAGCACTGGAATGCTACAATGGAAGAAGCTTTTCTTTCTGATTCTCCTTTTAAGCTCAATTTTGTTGATATTTTGCCAAGTAACAGACGCTTTAAGTATATGGGAGAAATAATACAAAAACAGATTATGAATGAAGTGTACAAGAAGTGTCTGATTTCCACTGAAGACACGATGGCTGTCTTTAGGAGGACGATGTTTAGACTATTATGGTTTGCCTCAGCCTATAAGACGTGAAGAAGTCATACAAAACAGAGACTATCTCAGAAAGATTGGCTATGACACACTTTTATTGGTACAAGTAGTATCCAACAACGAAAGTTTATTAAATAAAGAACAATATCAAATTTACAACCAAGTTTTAGATAGAATCGAGAATGGCACTAGTCAAATATTCTTTTTGGATGCTCCTGGAGGTACGGGTAAAACATTTCTTTTAAAATTATTATTGGCTAGAGTACGGAAAAATCGCGGGATAGCTTTGACAGTTGCTTCTTCTAATATCGCAGCCACTTTGCTCATTTTGCTTTTAAATTGCCTTTAAATCTGACACCTCTGTGCCACATTTCAAAGCAGGGCAATATGGCACTGGTCTTGAAAAAAACAAAACTTATAGTATGGGAAGAATGCACTATGGCCCATAAAGGAAGCGTAGAAGCTCTCGGCAAAACTCTGAGAGATATAAGAGAAAATGGCAGTTTGATGGACGGCGTTACAGATCTCTTAGCTGGAGACTTTCGACAAACCATATCAGTCGTACCAAGGGGAACACGAGCCGATGAAGTGAGATCATGTTTAAAATCATCGTATTTGTGGCTCCAAATTAAGAAGCTCGACCTAGAGGCAAATATGAGAGTACATTTAGGAGGTGATGCTACCGTTGCGTTGGTCAGTTTGCACAGACTGTGCTTCAAATAGGAGATGGTAACCAAGTCTGACTACGGTAGTAGATTCTCTTACAGAACTAACCAACAAAGTTTATACCGATATCAACAATATCAAAGCCAAACCCATAGACTGGACATGTGAGCGTCCTATTTTGACCCCCAAAGATGATAGAGCTGCTGGTATTAACGCTCTTTTGTTAAAATCATTTGAAGAAGGAGAAGAAATTCAATATAAATCCGTGTATTCGGTAGTACAAACTGATGATACTATAAATTATATAATCGAGTTTTTAAACACCTTTTACCCAACTGGTGTTTCTCCTCCAGTTATGCAATTAAGGAACTTGAACCCTTCAGATTGCAAAGAACGACTCTCCACCGGAATGTTGTAGAGGCTATGATAATCACGGGATGTACTCATGGAGAAAAGGTATTCATACCACGAATACCTTTACTACAGTCAGAATAACCATTTAGATTCAAAAGATTGCAGTTCCCCCTGAAGGTCTGCTTCACAATAACCATTAATAAAGCATAAGGTCAAACACTGAAAGTGGCCGGAATAGACTTGATGGAGGACTGTTTTTCTCATGGACAGTTCTATGTGGACTATTCCAGAGTGAATGCGGCAAGCGGTCTGGTAATTCCAGCACTTGAAAACCTTACCACGAATGTAAAGTAATAAAATTGAAATAAAAAAATAAATAAGGGGATGAGACATAATATATTCTAATTGTGAAATCCATGCAAGCGGAGCTGTCGGTAACAGCCAGTATCAAATAAAGCTAAAATAGTTTTCCATCTACTTTAAAAAGAGAGGTGCTATGGTCTTTTCGATAATTTAAAGTATATTAGCTACCTAAACATTTCTTTAATAATGATGTACCCATTACGTTGAAATGTATCATAGTACGATATTTAAACAATTTCATCATATTTATTCCACTGTGCCGGACCCTAATTTCAAAGAGGGCTAAATTATGACCTAAAAATCGTTTAGTTCTATAAAGATATAATTCTTTCGACTGAATTAACTGCGACGGACCTGATTTCATTAGTTTTAATTAAGTATTACTGGTTATATTTAAAATTTCCTTGAATTTGCTAAAAATCATTTTACGGGTATTAAGTAAATATTTACTGTAAAGTGTATTTTTTGGCTAAAGTTCATATAATTCTGACTTCTACTGATTTTATACATAAAAGTTGCTTTGTACTGAAGAGGATTATTAAGTAATCATGCTCCACCGCGTTAAAAACGAAAGCCTCTCGTATCCCACCGACTGCGCCATTTGCTGTAATTTTAGTTCTATTTTTGTTAAATTGCGTATAACCTTCCATCAACATTCCTGTCTCCCCATCTCGTAAAATTTTGATTGTCCCAAATTCTCCGGACTTACCACTTAGCGACCCCCTCCGCCACTAAAACCACTTACTAAAAGAGCTCAGAGCTATTAATTGCGAACGGTGTTTTGCGGCTTTGTTGTCAGATCAAAGCGCGCTTTAGCTATATTACTCGAACTTAATTTAAAAACTTATTCGGTCTCACAAACGATTTTTTACTCTCACCGGCTGTATGTCAATAACGGCTCCATCAAAAATAGAAAATTGGATCCGGCAGTGGACTACAGCGGGCGCGAGCTACACTCCCGCGATTTAATTAATCGAGTTAGCAATCGGCTACGAACAGGGTCACACACAGGGGATTTAATCTAGCGAAGATATCGCTAGTGCAGCGTGCACTCTCGTAAAGACGGGGTTTAAGTGATTTTTTGCTAACAAATGGAGCGAAATTTTCACGCGAGGAGCTAATCCGGGGCGTTTTTGCGAGGATCGGGAGTAATCGAGTAAACGATTTTAGAGTCCAGTGCAACGCAAAAAGTTTAAACCCTATCTGCAAAAGCGTATCTAGAGTAAACGGAAAAATGTAATGGAGTGAATGGAACTCCAATTGAGTACATACGATTGTGGCCGCACAAACACAAGTAGCAACGTCTTTCCTCTCCTGGGAAAACCCATCTTTTACTTTGTTAATTGGACTGGTGGTAAGGCGTCAGTAAGTTGTAACACACACAGTGACCAAAACAAAGACGATTTGATTATTCTCAGAATTAAAATCGCAGACAACACCTAATGACAAAGTGATATATGTACGTGCCTAGAAAAATTCACTTGAAACATTTCCATAGCATGCTTCTTTACTTTTAGTTTAACACTACCCACATCTTTTTATTTTAACGTACATAGTAACTCCTTAAAAAATTAAATTCGCAAAATCAAAATTTATCATTTTTCGGAAAATCTGGATTAACCTACTGTACTTCATGAGCGAGGAAAATTTTTACTTTAGCTGTTAAGCGAGTCACGACCGGACATTTTACGTTCAACCGTTATCCTGTTTGTTTAGCGGGCGCACACGAGACTCGGTAAAGATTCGTGTCTTCGACTAGAGTGACCTAGGTGGTTCCTTAGCGACGAGGAGACTCCCACCCGAACGACCACCAGCACAGAAGACGTTAACCGTCAACTTCGTGGTATAAAAGTGACATTTCCGCCTCAGGTCCGACAGGCATATCATCAGCGGTACTAGCCGTTTCAAAGGACTATAGGCTCCAAACGAAGACACATACAATTGTTGCGGCTTAACCGCATACATATGTTAAGCTGATATGTTATTAAGATTTTGGAATCAGAATGTTGTAAGATTAGCACTCCTTAAAATTTGGCAACGTGAAAATTTTACTACGTCCCGGTTTCGCCCCCTTACCTCAAACTGCAAAGTTAACGCATTTAACCTCTACAAATCATACTTGGGTTTCGGCTGTGGTTTTTCATTGGTGGTTGTCATCTGTGCCGTCTGGGTCCAGCCGTGCACTAACACTCTTTTTTGAATGCAGGCAAATTCCGAAAAGAATTCCACCGCGCTTTCGAGCACTGTTGCCAACGTTCGGGTGGTCATGGATTCCAGTTTAGCGCAGTGTATCGAAAAACCGACAAGGACTCTGGAATCGCCTCACGCTCACACTCGAGGACCGATCTGGAGATACAGCGGGTGAACGATTTCGAACCGAGACACAACAGGAAGGGAACTAAGACGAGCATGTTGTTGATGGAAACCTAAATATATTACAAAGCTATAAGTTAATGTGTTAAATCGTAGAGGGTCTCCCAATTTTTTTTTTTTTTTTGAGAGGACAATCACGGCAGACGCTCTATGTTACGTATACTGAATGTACCAATTCAACAGTACGGTAACTGTGATGTACAATTGTAAATTTCACGTTATAACGTTTCTCCTTGTCCCGATGTCGTGGAGTTCAATGTGCTCCCGATGAATGTTCTTACTTTAACTCTTATGGGGAATGATAAACGCTGAAACTTGTAAATTAATGTTGACCAAGATGTTTTATGTAGTACAATGTCAATAAAGTGTAGGTTAAGCGACGGTGTTTCATTACAGCGAGTTTCTCTTTGTTTCAGGCAAGTTTAGGAGAGAGTTTCGATCGTCGTTCGCCAAGTGCACGCCCGCAAACGAAGCATCTGACATGAATTTGCGTAGCAGTACTTGCATTTACCGGTTCACAACGTCCCACCACAGCTATAGGTCGCGCAGCGAAATTATCCCGCTTAACACCATCCAAAACGCAAAAATTCCCGCCCACTATGCCGTAGACTAAATTGCAAAACGTTATTTTAGAGTGTATTGCAGGTTAGGAGCACCAACGCGAACGAAGCGCACTGCGCCTAGTTTCTTAGCACCAACAACTACCTTACATTTGCCTGTTCTTGGTTACTTTACCACCAAACACTTATTAGACTTTACTCCCCCGCTTAACAAATTCTGTACAGTTGAACTTAACGGACCAAGCAATAGAGGCCCGAGTTTGAAGGCTTCAAATCGTGCACCATCTCAAAAATATGTAACAAGTAGTGTAGGTCACATGTTCCGACCTTTTGAAGGCTGTATCGCCCTTGTCCAATAAATATGAGAGAATTCTGAGGATTTTCTTGCCCAAGTCCTTCAGAGGTATGGATTGTACGAGAAACAATCGTCATCACAACGTGGAATTGGATCACAATGAGACAGGATAAAAAGTTAGTATGTAGAGTTTAATAGAAACATGTGTACAGTGCGAGATATTCCAGTGTGTGTCCGGATTAGAATTCATCTGACAGATTACGGTAGGTATCATAACATAAATTACAAATAACGTGGGGCCTAGTATCAATCCTTGCATCACAGCAAATGGCACGAGCAATTATTTTGAATTTAGAATATTGTAGGAGACGTAGGTACTGAAAACGTGCAGATAAATAGGAACTTAAAAATTTGATGCTACTAAAGTAATATTAAAGGGAACGCAAGATAAGTCATAGCATACTATTGAGAGGACAATCACGCCTATCCGTATGGAGCCCTAACGTATAACGTGTTTTGCTCTATATCAGCTCCCAACGTCTCATTGGTGTAGGCCGTTTTCACAAACGGGAGCTCTGACCGAAGCCGACCAAAGCCTTGAATTCCTAATATAGTGGCGGGTGAGAGACCCTGGGACGTTAAGAAGTACAAGCGGGAAGGACCCTGTTACCACGCCAATTTCCGCCGATACTCGTAACCCGAAGCTAGGTGTGGAGTGGCAGGGACTCCCACTACTGATCGTCAGGCCAATGGAGCACTGAAGTTCCGGTCTTTCGAACTTGATACGCTTGCTTGGATGATGGTTCCGAATTAGCCTTACTCGCACGGAAGGCGGCTGAACAGTATCCTCTGTTTGTTAGAATGTAACTTTACGGGGCGGGGTGGGGGGGAAGCTGTCAATTGCCCACTCCACTCTTGCCTCCGTGAGTGCCTTTGCCGCCAGCGCCTAGTCCTTCAGAGAAGGTTGAGTACCGGCTACATTCCTTCTGGAATGGGAGGTAGTCCTTGTGCTGCCTGGAAACATGGTCTGCAGCAAAAGTTCTGCGGACTCTTCTAAGGGGTGGCTGTCAAAGTGCCATCTTCTTTCTTTCCTGAGTCAACGCCTCGTTCTCCTTAAGTTTCAAGTTGAAAAAGGACACCATATAATTGATCCTGCCTTCTCTCCTCCTGATTGTTTTGGCTTCATTCATCCCAAGACCAAATACAACGAGGCTGTCTGGAGAGGCAGCCTCGGGTTTGGCTTCATGTTGGAAAAGAAGCCATTTTTAATGCGAGCCCATTGGATCTGACCCTCCAGGCGGCGAAGTACGACCTCTGCATCCACCGGTGGTCCCGGTATCCACAAGGTTGCTCTCACCAGCCTTGGTAGCTCAGCCAAGGGGACCACGTTAAGTGATGCGCGTTCCCACAGGGGTGTTAGAGAGCGCACTGTTTGTTTTAGCCATTCCAGAGACGTCTCGTCTTTACAGGTTATCCCTAGGATTCCTCCTGCGTACTTGATGCCTCTTAAACTGGCTGCTTCCCGTTGCCAGGCACTGTTCAAGTTGTCTGTCCAGTGCTCCCATCAGGTCATTTTGTACCATTTCCACCTGGGCAGGAGTTAGCTTACCAAGGGACTTGCAGCTACCTCCCTGTAGCTATGTCCTTTAGAGGTGGTCTCCTGCCTCTTCATGCTACTTTGCCTTTGTGCTACCGGAGGTGTGGAGATTGAAGACCGCACTCTCTTTTTTGACCCTGACGTCTTTTTCCCCAGGTTGTTTAGGGTTAGCTATTGTAGCCTGCCCTTTGCCCTTGGAGTTTATCCCGGGGGAGGATGAGTGCGGTTTCGGCGAGTCGGCATTCACCACCTCCGCTTGCAAGCAAGCGTTCCTCCGCCTTTTTACCTCAGCCCCGCAGATTTGCTTCCTTTTAGGAGACTACAACCCCACAGTGGCTGGGTTTTCAGTTTAAGGTGCACCCGAAAGCACTTCCTCAGTGGTTTTAGTTGTTTTTTATTCATATCTTGGATTTTGATTTCGTCCTTTTGCGTCCCTACCCACCACGGAGTCTAACAAGGGGACGTCGAACTTCGACGCCAGGGATACCAGGATATAGCACCCAGGGAAGCTCATCCTACAGTACGCAACGTCAACAAGTGAAGCTACTCGTGCTCAGACTACACTTCCCCCAAGGACTCACCCTATCGGCGGTCTGACCCGACGACGCAGCCGATTGATCTGAGATAGATTAGTCTCGACCTCCCATTTTAGTGGAAATCCAAGCCAAAGAGGCTTATTGCCCAGCCTTGGTGACCTCACTGCACCAAGGGGGCTCAACCTCCAAGATTCACCCTTAACCTACATATCTGGAGAAGGGAAAAACCCAGATCGGACTTCCACCATCCCCAGGAGTGTTTAGTTCCGGGGGTCAGTGATGACATGCCTTCCTATCTGACCTCATACACATTGGGTGGCGGGCGAAAAGGGATATTCTTAGGGCTGGGGGAGCCGCGGGTACTGCTACGAGGAATGGGAGCCCTTCGGGAGAGGAGAAAATTATTAGCCGCAGGTGTCTCGGTAGATCTCAAGGTAGAAGGAAAGGCAAAGATTTATCAGTCCCACTTTGTTCGAAGTGCCATCTCGGCAGACAAGCCTGTAACCTTCGAATGGACTCCAAACCTCACTGGACAGGTATCGCCCTGCACATTATTCAGACTATTCACACATTGGGTTGGACTCGAGGGATTAATGAAAAGCTTAAGAATGATGGCCTTCCCTTCGGGGATGCCCTAAAGCCGAAAGAGGAAGGGTGGGTGTCGCCAACTTCAGCTCCCGGAACATAAAAAATTAATGCTACAGATACCAAACCATAACTTTGGAGTTCCTGTACTAAACTATTGAGGGGAACGCAATTGAATGCCTTAGATAAGGTCATAACATAGTATTGAGAGGATAATAATTCCGTTAGACACATGTATACTGAATTCAACAGTACAGTTATAGTGGTGTACACTTATAAATTTCTTCTTATAACGTTTCACATAGTTCCAATGTTCTGGCATGGTGTCTTTGGACCCGTGCAACGTTAGCTCCGTATGGAGGACAGAAGAAACTACTATACGATTCTATCCAATACATTTAACCGTATTTTATTGTGCTAATGGAGCGCTAACGTTTAGCCCGTTTTGCTCTATATCAGCTGCCACCTTCTCGTTAATGTAGGCCGTTTTCTCAAATGCGAGCTCTGACCGAGGCCTGGGACGTTAAGAAATAGCAACAGGAAAGGCGCTATTACCACGCCAATTCCCGCCGATACTCGTAGCCACAGAACATTCTTTGACGAGCACGAGGCCAGGGGGTCGATTCTCGAACTCGTTCGAATAAGTTCCGCATACGCAAGTGGCCAATTTTCGAGCGGTTTTGAAGATTCGGTATTCTCGAACCGCGCGCACACGTTGGTATACGCAAATGTTCGAGCGTATACGAACGTCAAGTTACGAGTGGGTAGATGCGATCGCATTTTGGTTTGCGAGTGGTGAAAGCTAACCTAAAACTCTGTTTGGTTTTGGTCGTTCTATGTTAACGTCAATATAATATCTTTAATCTGCTGTATTTGTTAATATACATTAATAGAAAGGGTTACCATTCCAAAAATACACAAATTGTAATGTATCAATTTGATTATGGGAATTTTATAATTTCATTTACAGTTTTGACATTTGTGATGCAAATTTAAAAATTTTAAATTGAAACAGCGGATTTCTGTGTAGTACTTACACATAATAGCTACATGCTACATATGTATGAAGAAACAACGCACTATTGCGATATTTTGGCTAGCTACTGCGAACATTTCAAATACGTATACGTGAAGTTGTTTCAAAAATAAAAACTAAAATGAATTCTGAAAGATCATTTACTGTACAAAACGGTTGTAATGGTATGCATAAATATACCTGAATAAACATCGGGTAACCAAACTCTAAGAATTTTCTATAAACTAGGAGAGTACACGCAGTAATAAAGGTATTAATATGCAAATACCTGCTGGCTGTGGTGGTCCCACTCAAAAATAAACATTAAGTTTGTATCTGCATCATTGTAAAAAAATCACAAGAATTTGTATTAAATACGTAGGGTTGCATAAAATCGTAAACTCAACAATTTTTTTTTATCACGATTTTTTTGTTTTTTTAGTATGTCAATTATTTGGAATTAAAATCCTAATTAAAATAGTAAGTATCCGACTTAATGTCATCCTTGAGTCGTACTTCTTAGTTTTGAACAATAAAGAGAATTTATTGTAATTTACATTGCAAAAATGGAATTGATAGTGTTATTAATATAATATTCACTCCTATAATCTTTAAAATACAATTTAAAAGAATTATTGTCGTTCCATTTTGTTGGAAATATTATATTCTAGTTAAAGTTCAACTTATTTTGATATAAATTTGCATTAAAAGGGCCGTAATATGCATATGCATTAGATATTCCAAACTGTAAAGAAAACTTAAAAAAAAAAAACAATAATACTTCAAAGCAATAATTTAAATCGAGCCAATCCTGCTAATACGTGTTTTGCTGCTTAATAAATTTGGAGGTAACAGATTAAAATAGTCCTTCTTGGATTCAAACTCACCCCGCGTGAGTTCTGCCAACCATCGCATTTAAATATCCTCTGTATTTTTCCGCTGTTGCCATATCCTCACTCGAACAGAGGCCTTCGTATGCGCATCGAGTTGCTATTCGCATTGAATCTCGTTCAAGAAGACGGATTTTCGTTTCGAATAGCATCTTGGCATGCGCATCTATTCGTACTCGCATCTTGTCCATAGCATGAACTCCCACTACTGGTCGTCGGGCCACAGGTGAACTGACGTCCGATCTTTCAACCTTGCAAAGCTTGCTTGTTTAATGTGTTTTGAATGAACCTTACTCGTATGGGAGGTGAGTGAGCAGTGTACTCTTTCAGAACGCAGAAGTTAACGCGATTATATAGCGCCTCACGTCTTACAGGTCAATTAATTTATCAATTCTTGAAGTAATACTGACCTGGGTCTACCAATACTCACCGAACGCAAAAGGCCGATGCATAGCATCGGAAGTCCCCAACACGGAGCATTTGTGCTCTGGGGAAACTATTCGAGTAGTATGATGTCTAAAGCGAGTTAACCCAGCGTCCCGCCAAATTCCTCACTGTTTCACATACTCCAAAAGGTTTGCAGAGCGAAATTTACTTCGTAACGAACCTCCTATGGTACAGACTGGGTGGCGAGCGCAAAGGGATTTTCTTAGGGCTGTGAAAACCGCGAGGAATGCGAGTCCCTCGGGCGCGGGGAAACCCCTTAACTGCAAGTGCCTTGCTCGTTCGCAAGGCAGAGAGAAAGGTGAAGGGTTATCAGTCCCTACTTGTTTGAGGTGCCCTCTCGGCAGGCAAACCTGCAACCTCCGGACAGGCTCCAAGCCTTGGGCTGGACTCGAGGAGGTAATAAAAGCTCGAGTTAAGGTGATCTTTCGGAGATCCCACAAGAGTTTTCACGATCTAACATCATTAATAGAAACTGTTCAATAACCAGAAACAGTGTCGTCACATTATGGTGTTGTGAACTACTATAAGTTGGAGAAATTGTTTAAAAATTAACCAACGCTCGAGGGTCCCGAATTTGTTTACTTCGTTTATTCTTCGAGTTAGACTCTTGGAAATGGTAATTTTGGCTTCCTGGCGGTATGTAACCCCTTCGATGTCCTTCGTATGTCATTGGATAAGATTAAATAGTCATTTAAAAAAATTTAGTTTATTATATAATTACATAACAAATTAAATTAATATAATAGTTACAATATTGACTGATCCGTTCTTTCATACTGGCGACATATAAAAGAAAGGCGTATATGGTAATCACACACTATTAGCGGCGCTTAGTACTAAATTATTAAGAATATAATAAGTAAGTTAGTAGAATAAATCAATAAATGTTCACTAAATAAAGCAAAAATCGCCACAAAAATGGTCCCACTTATACCCATCATATACAACAACAAAAAAGTAAAAAAATCACCAAGAAGAGAAAATTTCGAAAACCTTGCGAATTATGGCAACTAAACGCAATTACGTATGTGACTTACACACATAGAAATAAATTATCCTTCGGGCTTCACAGAAAATTGCAACTCTCAACGGTCGCGACGCGCAGTCTCGAAACTGGCGATTTCCAAGCATGCGCGTCCGACGCTCTCTAAATAAATTCTTTTATACAAAAATATGAACATTTTTGAACGAAACCTACACTTCATAACCCTACGTGTCAGTCATTAGTCAAGTCGTGTAAATTTGGAATAAGTTAAATCCTACAATTATCTAAAGTCTAAAAGGCTCCCGTTCCTTCGTCGTTTTCTTCGCTTGACCCGTGGCGGTGTCAGCCGCTCCCGAGGGTTTCCTTAGAAGCTTGGAGACGGCGGTCTGCTGGCCGGCCGGAACGGGGGTGTTGGATCCGGATGGTGTTCGTGTCCTGTCGGCGAAACTCGATTAGTGTGAATTCGTGCCGATTCGAGAGAACTATTGCCGACGTAGGCCAGCACTACGTTAAAAGTTAAGAGTGTTAATTACCTAGCCGCCGTCCGCAGCGTCGGAGCATTACCGATTGTCACTTGTCGTGGTTTGCTTGTACTCCTAGTTAACACATCATAGACATGCCGTTAGTCATGTTACAAGTTCAAAGAAAAATATAAACAGCAAATCAGAATAATCGATCAAACACAAACGTGCCATAAAAAGCGAATGTTTACCTAATCGGGATTTTCGATCGGCTCGATCTGCTAGCCGATGACTTGGTTCTGGTTAGCGGTAGCGTTAAGAAACGTTAGTATCAGTCAGAGAACACAAAAGACGGACCAGACACGTGCAAGAAACGGAAATAACGTGATATACACTACGCATGCATTAACACAGAATTACCCTGAAGATAGAGACATAGAACAAGAGCTTGACGTTGAAGGAGACTCAGGATCAGTGTCACCACTTCCCTTGTACACAGGTATGCGAGACCTGGTTACAGGACATTATCAACAAAACGAAATACTCATGAAGAGGGCGGCCAACCGGTTAGTTAATCATTTTTAACTTAACTGAATGTACCTTTCTACTTTTCGGGACAAGCGTCCTCCAGCGGCTTAAGCCGGAAGGGTTTTTGCGCTTTCACTTGCCTCGTTCTGCAATTTTAATCAAAGATCAACGTTTTATCTGTTAACGGTTAATTCGGTTGGTAAGTTGGCTACCCTGTACTGTACCCACACCAGCGGGGCAAGCGACGGGTTCTAAGTTAACCCCAGCGCTTGACCCCCTACCAATGAACAAACACCCCCAATTTAGACTTCCACTTTTTTTTACCTTGGAGTGGTAACTGACGTTAGTGTTGGGATGCTTGATGCTCGGGGTATGCCTGATGATCTACCAATGTTAGAACATGCCAATATTAGTAGAAGTCATAACGATGGTTCTGATAATTTAGCAATAATAGAAGAAAATTAAAGAGATTTTAAAATTTGCGTTTTAGTGCCATTCCAAAATTAGAAACTGATTCTCTAATAATAATCAATCATATCCGTAACCTTTACCCAAAGTTTGGTAAAATTTCTACCAAGCCCCTAGTTAAGACGCCACCGAAAACTTACTTCACTGCAGGACTAGCTGGCGAAATCAGTCCTGTTGGTGTCCTGGGCCTAGAACCGGTGCCGTTCTGGGGTCGCCTCAACGATGACGTAGCCGAAGGTACCCGGCTGGAGGTCGGCGTCCTTCGTGGAATCCTCGACGGGGTACCATCATCTATCAAGTAATATGCATTCACAAAAGTTCAGAGTGGGTAATACAGGAAAACACGTACCTGTGCTGTCTAGAGAAAGATTTGAACCGTGCCTCGATGGTGGTTTGCTGCCAGGCCTGCTGCCAGTCCTCGACGCCGGTCGCGAATTGGACCTCGACCCACCAGGAGTCAGCGTCGACCTGTAAGACGACGGTTTCCGGGGTGTCCGGAAGGTGGCGCTTTCGTTGTCTGAGAGAGAGTCTGGGGTGCCGGCCGATAACGAAGACTTGGAGGTGCGTGGAAGACTGCCCATCGGTACCGATCGCGCTGAGCGTTCTCTCACCTACACAGAGTTTGTGGTTAAGGGGCGATCTTCAGAGGCAACCGACCGACGCACCAAATCAGGCTTTTAATTCTTTAAGACGTTCGGGAACTTGAGGAGTTCGCGATCTTTGATATGTTCGCGATCTGTGAGAATAGAATTGTGATGGTTGGTGGTAAACGGTGCTCAAACGTGTACTGAGTGTTTAAAATAGGCCTAATTTGGGCGCCGGTCGGTTCGGTCGGTGCAAAAAGGATCTTCGTGTAGTAGTGCCAACAAACTTCTACACTGTTAACTACGTTTGCACAACTCTGCAACAGTGGCTGGTTTGAAGATCCTCGACACAACATAAGCCAACTCGTACTTACGGTTCCCTGTCTTACCTGTTCCGGTGAAGTAAGAACGATCTTCACGGGTTTAACGAACCGAGTAGTTCGAGAATTTGGAAAGAAAAGACCAAGTAATGAGTTTCGTTTCGTCTTACCTGCGCGATACCTACCATCGGGACTTGCGATAGGTACAAGAGTTTGTGGTGGTCTTTTTCCGGCCCGATAACAGCAACTGCGTGTACCGATCAAGAACAAAAACAGACCGGTTGAGTTATTACTCACTAGCATAACGAATGACGTGATGATTGCAAACCAAAGAGAACAACACCGCTCGTACATGCACATGCAAAAATCGGCACACAAGAGTAGTGTACAGTGTGTATTATATTACCCAGTGGTAAGGGGTGTTGAGATTGGGTGGAGCCCAGTGTAAGGTTGGGCCCGCAGTAGAACCAACATGCAAGGGATATGCATTGCCGACCTCTCCTTTGGCCCTCAGCTGCTCGAATATGGGCATCAGCTCCGCCAAGTGTTCGTGAGCTAAACAACGCACATGCGAACATGTCACAGCATTCATTAGAGAAGTTGTGTATAGCGTGGACTAGAAGGCTACTCGTCGGCTGAGAACTGATTTGGCGCGTAAGCCAGAGACTGTCCAAGGGATTTTCGCCTATATTAGTTAATATACATGGTTTAGACAGAGTACTGATTTGATCCATCTCTACCCTGAAAATCGATATTTGCTACTTACTTTTTTCCTCTCCAGTGTTAGATTTGGAACTTAATGATAAATAATGAATTGCAATGACTAAAAATGAGAGTAAAAACCGTAGACACTCTTCTAAAAATTAAACATTAAACTGAAATTAAAAAATATTTTTTTGAACAATGTAATTTGTAGCTTTGTAATGTAAACAATAAAATTTGTATACCATTTTTGTCTCGGCAATCATTCAACTCATACTCTCCAAAGGTCTAGTATAGTAATAGCAACAGTTCTACATTGGACATACCAAAATTAGCGCCTCCAGATGCTGAAGATATTATTAAATATCTTTAAGCAGATATCTGTGTCCTTAAATGTATGGCTTAGGATAAATTGTGTGGCATATATTGTGCTTCCTAGGCGAAGAAAATTGAGTAGACTTAGCAATATGTAAATGCTGCTTACTAGAACTTTAGGGAAAATGAGTTGGCACGTTCCTGTGAAAAAATTAAATAAAAGTTCTATTGTTTAACAAAATGTGAAATTATTTATTATTTAAACAACAAATCTTGTTTGTATCTTAAATTAGTAAAATTACGATTTACTTTTTACACCTAGTAATACAGGAGTATCTGTAACATTGATAACAATTAAAAAAGTGTATATATAAATTAGTTGTCCCAAAAATATTTTTCAATTTCAGTTTAATAATTATTTTTAGACGAGTGTCTGTGCCGTTGCAATATTACCAGTTTTGCGTTTAAGTTGATTAAAATTTATTTCGAAACCCAACGCTGAAAAAGAAGAAAGCAAGCAGCAGCTACGTAAAGCCGAATAATGATGCAATATCGATTTTTTTGATAAAAATGGGGCAAATCAGTACTTAGTCTAAACTATGCTTTGCTTTGCTCAAGCGTCAAACCAGCATTGAATATTAGAAGCGAAAATCCCTCGACCAGTGTCTGGTCTATGCGGGAAACCAGTTCTCAAACGACGTACTGACACTCTCGTTAACCGCTCATCGCCAAGAAGAGCACTCGCGCGTGCGACATGAGATGGTGCGAACAGAAAAAAAAAAGCGACTAGTGCCGGCTTGATGACATGGTATGGTAGAACTATGCTTGACCCTTGTGGCGCGTACACGTGGCGCGACGAAACTCGGATCTCCTGAGGCTTCCCACAGGACTTACCTTGCCGGTGCGACCTGAGCTTTGGCCGGACCCCCATGCGCTACTTACAAGCACCATAACCAAGAGCGGTCCAGTCAAGTGCTCATTCACATGCAACGTAGGTGAGCAGATGACCGAACACCACATAAATGCAATCGAAAAAAGCACTGAAAACTAATACTCCACAACCAACCGGGATCGGGTCGGGGCGAGCGGGTTCGATGCTTTTTTCTCGCTACAGACGGATAAAAGGGTGCTGTGCAATACCTTAGTGATTGGCCCTTGAGGAGTGCGGAGTGATGATGCAGAGGAGCCAGAGGCGGGACTGGAGGCCGATGTTTTGGGCTTGAACGCGGTCATAGTTTGCGATACGCCGTCGGCTAGGATGAATTGTTCACGCAGCTCTATGTTCGTGCGTCCTTTGGCTGTGTGAGGAGGCGGGGACAGGGAGCAGGCGGACGAGGAGGAGTTAACGAAACAAAAGTAGTTAGTGCGGAACGAACGTAAGAGGGAGCGTCGGGGAGGAGAATGAAAGAAAAAAAAAAACAAAAACATAATAAGCAAAAATACTAACTCAAATCGAAAGGCTATGCACGAAGGTTCTAACCTGGGGGCGTCCCACGCGACGCGCGGAACGCCCCCGGAGGCCAAAGCGGTCGCAAGGCGGCCGCTTTGTCTCCTGGATGTGCATATAGTACAGTGAAAACGATACTAATCTAAGTTGCTGTCTAAGTAGCTAACTCATAGACAAAACACAAGTGAACTAAGTATACAAAATAACAAAAGAGTAAAATAAAGGTGTGTGTAATGTATGCGTTAATGAAAATAAAACCATGCACCCAAATTCAAGTCGCCCACAAAAATTAGTAACAAAGAGATGCGTATATTATAAATTATAGTCAGACACCTGGGTTTAGCAACCATTCAACGCGGTACGAATTAAGGTTATATGTTACAGGTTATATATTCGTAGTGTCGGGCAGTATATCAAGTATCCATAATGATAATTAGTTGGGAGCGTCTAAATTTTATTCTTCTGGAGAGTTTTAAGGAGTCTCTCGGACTGCTACAGTAAACATAAAAAAATCCACTTTTTTTTTAATGTGTTTCACACTTTGTTACTAAGTTTTGTTTGAAACTTTAAAATCAAACTCTGCTCTGATCACCAAGTTAAAACACGTGCATTCGCTTACCGAGGGGGCACCAAGGCTCGTGCTGATCGGGTATGTCGGGATGAGGTAGCGGTAAGACTAACGTAACTTATAATCGTGACGTCACAATGAACAACGAAAGTTAACGTAACAAAAACGTGTAAGCGCAAAATAATTTATTAACGTTATTAAATGGGACGTGTTAGAATGGGAAGGAAAACAAAAAATCCCATTAGTACTGATGACACAACGAAGCTGGAAGCGTACGAACAAGTACGGCTTGCTCACACGCGACAAACAAAACATGATCGGATGGACAAAAGAACAAACGAAGCATGATGATGTCCTCAGGAGACTGTTAGATGTTATTTTATTAGAGATGTTTCGTTAATTACATGTTTTTTAATCGCTCCGTTACGCAATAAGGGACAAAGCATGGTTGTGAGTGAAGTCAGTAGATTTGTTACATCGTGTGTATATGTACCGCCGGAATCTCAAACGGGGATTGAAATTCCGCACAATGTATACATCTTTTTGAAGATCATAAAGACACTTACCTCGGCATGGATCGTTCTTTAGCAAGAACTCGTCTAACGCTACCCAGCCGCCTCCAACGCGCACCATTACGGTGCTGCGCAAGATGCGGACTAGACGGAGTTTCTGGCTCTCGCCAAACTGAAAAACAACAATCAGAAAACGAAAATTCACCCCTGAACTACACATACTCTATATTTGCCCTCGCCGACCTGGAACACTCGGAACTTCTGCCTGCAAGTGCACAGCATGACCAACCTCTTCACTTCGTCATGGATCTTCTGGGCATCAGTCTCAGGTTTGTCTTCCCAGTCGGGTCTCAAAGCGGCGATGAACTTCTTCCAGTCTATCAAACTGCGGTTATCCTGGTCGAACATGTCGGCAACGTGTTTCATTTCGAGCCGGGACGTATCGAACTCTGAAATTTCACCATTAGCTCAATCGAACGTCCCACACGCTCACGTACTGGTCTTGATGATTCCTTCGATGAAGTCCTCCCTCGGGATCAGTTCGTTGTTGTCTTTGTCCATCTTCCTGAACAAGTCCGTCAGCCTCGACTTCTTGTAGTTCATGAACTTGAGGAATCTCTTCCTCCAGTCGTCCCAGGAGAAGTTGTCCGCTTTCTGCTTCTCCTTCAAATAAGCCAGATGGTCATACAGCTCGCGTTGTCGCTCCCACGACAGCATCCACACGTGCCTCCACTTGTCGTACAAGAACTTGACACGTGGTGACCGGAATTCGGGTTCGCTAAACGGATAGAAGTAGTTAGCACACACACATGCATAGAAGATGAATGAAAATGAGAATGTGCGTCAATCGGTATGTGCACTTGACGTCGTATTTACACGATATACTTGAGTGTGACCTGCCGTGTGTCGTGTTAGTCCCATGAGATGTCTGAGTGAATGAAAATGTGTACCTGCCAGGTGGGAATCTTGGCCCGATATGGGGTAAGTTGGGATCCGGACTGAGTTCCCGGCCGGGGCTGGAACGGCTGTCGACAAAGCACATGCAACACTCAACATATCTATTTAACTAAAAACAAAAAGTCTACAAACTCAAACAAATCGCAAATAAATGAGAACGTGCGCGGATTGGTTCGGTTTGTCGACTGGTTTCGTACGTTAATCGACACCACCAAATACTTAATCACAGGTGTTAGTAGCACACAAAAAAATAAAAAATTATCACAAACGATCAAAGGGTGAGTGTGTTAGGATCAAGCATTTTACACGTTACAACTGCCACGGTATCTCCACAAATCGCCAAAAAAATTTGGAGCAGCTGGTGGGATTGATTTCTTAGTGGAGATACCACGTCGTAATGTTAGTATAATTATTAAAAAAGTGACAAGATGAGCTAACCTTCCGCGCTGAGAAAGCAGATCTCTGGATCCTTTGAAGCTAGAAAATACACACTCGTCAAGCGATGCTAACATCAGAAAAAACCGAACTTTCACATCCACAAGCTCTCAAACATTCAATTTAGTAACAATGTGAAAGTTCGGTGCCAGACAAATAGATGAAAATACAAAAAGCGACGGTGACGATTAGAAACATACCTTTGCTTGCGCCCAAGAGAGCCGTAATTATCGGGTGAAGTTTCACGAATATCATGCTGTGATCCACGGCTGGTGAGAAAAGCAACACAAACATTAAACATGCAACAAACACAAAAGGTAAGAATTGTGTAAACACAGGTGACGTGATAGAAGAAATCTGTGCTAGTGCTTCGAACACGAGACACATTTAGTGACGACACAACGAGAAACGAATACTTACATAGGTCCCTTGCCCTTAACGAATTTCTTAGGCTCTTTAGCAGTCGTAGCTTTGACTTGTTTGGCCTTACAAACTCTATCCACTTCTCCTTGGCGTTTCTGGGTGTTTTCCATGAACTCTTTGTGGTCGGAGATTAGTTGTTCCGTCGCTGGTATGTCCATCGGAAGCTCCTCGCGCTTGAGGGATATAAGAGTATTCTCCAGCCCCAGCAACCACTGGATGAGTTCCTCCAAACACTCGTCCAAGTCGCGCAGCGACTGCATGTGAGCGGTGAGTTTCTGGTGACGCTGTAACGCCCACTGGGACACTTCTTCCCACCTAGTTTGAATAACCTTGATCCAGTTCTTGATAACGTTGATAGCGTCGTGATGGGCTTTAGCTAACACGTTCTGTGCCAAATCCAGAGTCTGATTTTTCTCGCGTTCCTTCTCTTTGAGTTGGGCCCTGAATTTATCCAAAGCCTGGAGTTGTTCGTACGCGGTAGCCTCATCTTCTGGAGTGCTACCCACGAATCGGAGCTGGTGTTCGGCTTCCGATAACCACTCCAAGAGCATATGAACCGACTTGTGAAGTCTTTCGGCCTCGCGAAGCGCTTCGTCCAACCGATCTGATCTGATTCTTGTAAGTTTCGTAACAGTGTTCCACAACTCGCTCAATTCGTTCAGTTGGCCTCTGATTTGAGAAGCATCAGCTTTGCTGGCTTTGCGTTCGAGGTCGGTTCCGGTTCGTATAACCGACTCCATCTGTTCGTTGCGTCGTTCGAGCTCCTTTTCGAACTGGCGGTGAAGATCCACGAGGTGGTTAACGGTGTCCAAATCGCCGTGAACTGGACTGTCAACAGAAAGCTCTTTTTCTACCTTCTTCAACCACTGTAGCAGCGCTGCGATCGCATCCTTGAATTGACCGGAGTACAAAAGAGCCTCTTCGAGCTTCCTCTGCCTGTCGACGCTCTTACTACAAACAGCCGTCCACTTGGCCTTCAAATCCATCATCATCTGCTTAATAGTTGTCTCGTCGGTCTTGGGTGCCTTCTCCTTGAGCACTTTTCCGCTCTTCATCACGTTGTCGTAAGTGCCTTGTTTAGACGACAGGGTGCGCTGGAACTCCTGATGTTTGCTCAATCGGTTCTTGATTGCCTCGGGGTCGTTACCCACTGATTCGGACAACAAGCGATCCAAAGAGTCTTCAGTTTCGTTCAACCACGTCATGAGTCCTGACCAACCGTCGTGGAACTCCTTGGCTTCCTTGTAACCCAGATCGAGAGATCGGGTGCGTTCGGCCGACTTCGAAGCCACTCTTTCCCACCTGTGCTGCACGCTAACCAGCAAGTTCTTGATGAGAATGACGTCCTGTTTTTGGCTGAAGTACTTCAAGTGCGTGCCCTTCTTGTCTAAGGCTAGCATGACCTCCCGGTGGGCGCTCACGTCCTTTTGGAACACTTTGTGTTCCTCGATTTGCACTTGGATGGTTTCCAAGACCCTCGAAACGGGCTTCAAGTTGGACAAGACCTTCTCCGCGTTGGTCAACCAGTCAACGAACGACTCCAAAGCCTCATGGAACTCAGTCGCTTCTTTGAGCGCAATCTCCAGTTTGATCTTCTTGTCGTTGGCTCGCGAAGTGACTGAATCCCAGCGCTGTTTCAACGTACGTAGATTGTGCTGCAAGTTAGAAGCAGCATTGGAGCCCTTTCTCACGTATTCTTGGCCTTGGGCCAGAATGGTCTCCACTTTGGGTCGATTGTCCTCGATTTCGTTATACACTTCCATGAAACGTTCGAGTTGTTCGCTGGCCGTCTCGGGTAAACCACCCACAGGTTTACTGGCGGTGATGATACCGTCGACGTCGCACAACCACGAAAGCAGGTCTTGGATTTCAGCGTTGAATCTTTGAGCTTCGTTAAGAGATACCTCGAGCTCGCGTTGTCTGTCGGCGGCTTTCTGCATGAGAGAGCGCCACTGGGTGTTGAGGGTGTTAAGTTTGTCTTGCGTGATGGAAGCTTCGTCAGAACCTGGAGGACACCCAAGTGTTGTGTCAACGATCGAGAAAAACGTGTACTTACCTTCGCCGCTTTCGATGATTTGTCGTCCGGCGTCGTTCAAAGTGTCGACGCTCGTCTGGTGCGCCTGGATGTCGTTGACCAACACCTTCAGCTTCGCCAGTTCGATTTCTAGTATTTGTGGGTCTCCCTGGACTGGTTTGAGTTCGTCGAGAGTCTTGTCGGTCTTGCTGATCCACACCAAGAGTTCGTTGAGGGCGTGTTGGAACTGTCCGAGACGCAAGAGTGCGTTCTCGAGCTGTCTCTGACGTTCAACAATGCCTCTCAACAAATCATCCCAGCGCTTGTTGACGGCAGACAGCGGTTCTTTGATGGCAGCGGCTTGGTCGGCTGATGTGCGTTCGGTTAGTTCTTGCGCTTGCCTGTTGAGAATCGGTAAATGAGAAAGTGTCCGAGACAGGCCAGACAATTGGTAGGAAGAGCAGGCAAAACTCAATTGTCTGGTGAAAACCTCAAAGCAATGCAAGCTCGATGTTCGCATAAGCTACAGAAGCAAAACACAGACGGAACGAAACTTGGCCAGTTTCCTTTACGTATACATATGTACATCGGAAGCAAAGAAGGAAGCGCTATCTCGTATCTGCGAAAGAGTAGAGAAAATTTAAACACACAAGACGAAACAAGGAATAAAGCATGCCCAAACGTTGCGTTAACACAAAGGCTAGCAATCAGAAATCTAAAGTTTCCTTGCCTGATAAGACTCCTGTAGTCCACGTGACAGAAAAATATAGAAAATAAACACATTGTTAGGATAGTTGTACTAATCTAAAGCATTTATTAAAGAGAGGAATTTCAACCGAAATTAATTCATCACGTTCTAGCCAATCGAAATTTTGATAAGTATAATACAACTCTATTTCTGTAGACAAACAAAATACTGACCTGTTGAGGGCTTCTACTTTCACCATGTGAGGATCAACTTCGGATTTGAACTTCTTGAGTTGGTCGATTTGTTTCTTGACGGCGTCGATGTCCGTCCCCAAGGGTCCCATTTTAGCAAACTTATTCTCCGCTTTGGCCAAGAATTCCAAAAGATTCTAAAAACAAAACAATAGAACAACCCTAAAAAAAACTCCCGCGTTCTTACTTGTAACGTTTCATGGAACTCCATAGCTTTCTCCATCGCATCAATCAAGTTCTCTTCACGCTTAGCGTACAACGCGGTGATGTTATCCCAAGCGTTATCCAAATCTTCAATATGTTTCTTCACCTCTGGTTTATCGGGTTCTCCGCACAACCTCATCAAATCTTTACCAGACGCCCTGACTTGGTCAACCTCCGGTTTAGTCTGGTCAATTTCGTGTCTGATCTCTTGCAACGCCACTTGTTGTTCTTGGATAGCTTTAGGCTCGACCGCTGGTGGCTCCTGGCTTATCAATGAATCCTCCAAATCTTTGAGGGTCGCCATAATGGCGTGCAGCTCCTTCCAGAATTTCTGAGCGGCATCGAAAGTATCATCCAAAGAGTGTCCTCTGTCGTTGGTAGCTTTCTGCACGTCGTCCCATAACTTGGTCAACTTATCCAGTTTGCGCTTGATGTCTTTGATGGCCGGGTCGGAACGATTCGGAGCTTTATTGATGACATCATCAGCGGCGCGTTGCACAGCAGCATAAGCTTCCTTTCGTTTATCCAAATCACTGACGAGTGCGTCGTTGTCTTCGATTTGGTCTCTAATTTTGGGTGGATGAGCCGAAATGGGTTCGAGATTATTGACTTGGTCGGCCGTATTCGACAGAGCTCGGAGCATTCCTTCGAGTTTGTCCGTGAACTGCGAGCTTTCTTGCAGGGCTTGTTCAAGAGCTAGTTGACGCTCTCTGAGTTCTAGTTTCAAGGCGGTGTATCGGGCGTTGTCGCTGTCGAGCAACTCCTGTACTTTGGAACCGTCGTCGTCGTTGCACAGGCGGATGAGAGCTTCACCGGTCTTATTCAACTTGTCGACCAACGGTTTATGGTCGTTGATACTCTGGATGAACATTTCGTTACGATCCTGTTGTTGTGCGATCAAATCGGGTCTCATCGAAGGCATTGCCAACATCGAAATCTGTTCTTCGATGTCCGACAACCAATTAGCCAACACATTGTGGGTGTCATGGAAGTGTTCGGCCAATGGCAAGGCTTGTTCCAAAATACCTAACCTATCAGAACTCAAAGCGGACACGGTGTCCATGCTTTCGCGCAAGTCCTCCATCTTCTCACGAATGAGCGAGGTGTCTTCACTCGGGGGACTCTCCCTGAGTACTTTCTTGGCGGTAGAGAGCACGTCTCTGACTCTCCCCTTTTGACTAGAAATATCGTCATTGAGAGCTTTGTGTTCTTTGAGTTGCACACGGATCAAATCGGGTTCGGCTGAAGGTTTCTCGGCATCTCTGATCTGACCTTCGACTTCCCTGAACCACTCCAAAAGCTCGTCGATGTCTCCGGTAACCTCAAGAGCTCTCTGCTTACCGAGGTGGATCCTTTCGGCGCGACGCTGAATTTGTTCGGCAATAGCGTCGAAACGTCTGTTATCTCTAGTGACGAGACCTTCGATAGTCGAAGCGCCTTCTCCTGGACTAGCTTGGCACAACTGTGGTCCGAGCAAGTTGATGTGTTCAAGAACGGGTCTTAGTTCTTGGAGGTCCAATTCCAGACGGGCGATCTCACCTTCGTGAGGTTCGGCCGACTGTAAGACACTCTCGGCACCTTGCATCCATTCCACAAGACGGTTGTGGTTGTTGTGGAATTGTTGCACCAGAGGGAGCATATCTTCGGCGTGTTTCAGCAAGTCGACACCTCGGGATGTGAGGTCGTTGTAGCGACGCTGGAGAGAATCAAGCTTATCTTTGAGTTGAAGAGCTTCATCAGATGAAATGTGACGCATGAGTTCTACGCCTGCGTCTACGGTGCCATCGACGTCTTGTTGACGGCCGGAGATTTCTTCGGTAAGACCCTGCGAAACAAACATTAAGAATTTTATACAGTTACGTTAGAAAACACTTACGGTGAGGTCGTCCATTTGCTCAAGTAGTTTGTCGGTGTGCACCGCAAGAACCTTGAAACGGTTCAATCGATGTTCCATGCTGTCCATCCACGCAGCCAAATCTTGGTAAGTGAGCACCAAGTGTCTCAAACCTTGCCTGGAGTCGGTCAACAACTGTCCAACCCTTTCACTGGCGTCCACGAGACCACCGTAACGATCGGTCACTTCTTGTAATTTATCAGCAAGACCAGCAGCCTCGTCCTCACCGACCAAAGCCATCAAGTTCGACGCTGTATCCGCCAATTCTCTAAAATCGGGTTTCTTGCTCAAAATATCGTTGTGTAAAGCATCGTGCTCGCGGATCTTTTGCTGTATCTTCTCTTCGTCGGTCGGAATGAGTTCCATATCTTTGACTTTCTTCTCGCTACGATCAAGCCAATCTTGCAACGGGATCAACTTGTCTTGGAACTCTTTGGCCACTTTCATGGCTTGTTCTAAATCGAGAGTGCGTTGCTGGGCTCCTTCTGTCAATGCATCGAAGCGACCAATCAGGTTCTTCAATTGTTTCTCGATAGCTTTGCGCTCGGCTGGTTCTGCTTCCTTTGCAATTTCGTTACCCATGGAGAAGAGTGACGACATGGAGTTTTGTCTATCGAGTAGCATTTTCTTAAGGAATTTCTGTTCCTGGAGTTGGGCTTTGACCACTTTGTAGTCAGCGGATGGTGGTTTCTGATTGGCGACCAACTCTTCAGTGTCGGTTAACCATTTGGCCAAACCGTCCAACGCTTCTTGGAATTTACCAGACTGTAACAGCGCTACATCCAGTCGTCTTTCGCGATCGTTTAGACGCTCTTTCAAGTCGTTCCACTGGTCGTTCATCTTCTCCAGGTCTTTTTCTAGAGTCGCTGTGTTCACACCTGGCGCAGCTGATTGGATAAGGCCTTGACCAGCTCTGTTACAGCCTTCCACGGCTTTACCAACAGGTTCGACAGTTTTCGCTCTGAACTTCTTGAAATCTTGTTGTTGCGCTCTGATAGTATCGACTTCCGAGCCGACCGGTTTCAGCTTCCTCAACTGATCCGAAGCATCATGTATGTCGTCCAACACGTTAGCGTGTGCCAAGTAGAAATCTTCCAGTTTCTTGTGGATGTCTTCGAGACTCTGCTCGCGGCTCCTAGCCCGGTCGTCAAGTTTTCCCAACTGCTTGCGCAAACTCTCCACTTGCTGGCGTGTCTGCGCCGTATCCGGAGCAAACCCACTATCCACCAATCGCTCGCCTGAACTTATAGCGTCGTTGACGTCATCAGTAGCCTTGTTGATCTTATTCAAGAACTTAGTGACGTCATCAATCTGACCACGCACCGTCTTCAAATCCCGACCCGGTGCCTTCATGTCGTCGAGTTCTGTTTCCAGACCCGACAAATCGTGCGAGAGAGCTTTGACTTGGTCGTTGAACTGCGTCACGGCTGTGGCAGCAGATTGCAATTCGGAACATCTATCGTCGAGTTTGCTCTGGAGTTCGTCGATGCGGTCACCCAAGCTGTCAACTTCGTCCTCCAAATGGTGGGCGTCGATTCCGTTTTGGGCCGCCTCGCCGACGAGGTCCTGTGCTTGTTGTTTTACGACCTGTAATGGTTTCTTGAGTTTGGCGGTTTCTTCGCGAAGGGCCTTGATGCGTTCGAGGAGTTTGGGGTCGCGAGCGGCACCACCAAGAGCATCGTGTGACGCGAGTTTGTCTTCGCAGCGCTCCAAACCGTGCTGGAGATCTCGAATGTTCTCGTTGAAGTCAGAGAGTTTGCGTGACTGGTCCTCGAGGGCTTGCGTGCGCTCGATTAAGTCGTTGTTGAGTTTGTCCCAGCGCTCTTTCAAGTCGGTTAGTTCGTTCTTCACCACTTCTTTATCGATGTCGCAAGCGGAAACGAACGTATCGCCGAGGGTTCGAGTGTTTTCGTACTCGCCCGATTTTTTCCACACTTCGTTGCGGAAGGCTTGGAGTTCTTTAAGTTGTTTCTCCATGTGTTTGCGTTGGAACGATGATGGTTTCAAGGTGTCTAGTTTGTCTTCCGCTTGACGCAACCAAGGTAGGAAACTTTCCAAAACGCGGTAGTACTTGCGGCAGTGCTCTTTGCAAGTCTGGAGCCGGGTTTGACGGTCGACGGCTTCCTTGCGGAGTTTCTCCCATTGTTGCTGGATCTTGTCCAAGTCTCTTTGAAGAGACCTCGAATCGCTCCTGTTATTCCTAGCTAACATATCTCTTCCTTTGTTGAGTAACATGATCACTTCGTGTTCGCGAGCTAGCACGTCTCTGTAGACGGGCTCATGGTGGGCCAACTGTTGCTCCAAGATGTCGCGCATGGCTGAAATAAGCAACTTCTCAGATAGCGACCCCAACTCATCAGACAACCATCCTAAGGTCTTGGCACATGAAGCCTCAAATTGTCGTCCGTCGCGCAACGACCCTTCAATTTCGGCTTTCTTGTGGTCGAGTTTCTTCTGCAAAGCGTTGTACTGTCGCCCTATGGATGCCAATTTACCTTGAATGTCCGCCCGTGATGCTGGATCACTCAAAACGTCACACAATTGAGCCCCAGCAGCTTCCAAGTCAGCCAACAAAGGTCTCTGTCCTTCCAACTGTCGCTCGAGGTTCTCAATTTTGCGCAGCTGCTCTTCAGGATCTTTATCTAATGGAAGTTCATCCAAGTTGTCTGAAATTCCTTGAAGAGCGTCTCTTAGTCGGGTCAATTGGGCATCGAACTCTCGACTGGTATCAGCAGCGGCACCCAAAGAATCCGCACGCTCTTCCAATTTGCTCAAAAGGTCAGCCCACCGCTGCTGGATGCTCGCCAACTTGTTGTTGACTTTTTGCCCGTCGGGTGAGCGTGGGTCTAAGTAAGTCAGAACAGAATCGCCTACGTCAATCAAGTGTTGGAGTTGCGGTTGTTGCGTACGGAATTCTTCCCGTAAGACTTGGACTTGTTGGACTTGTGACTGCACCATTCGCGAGTCGCTCGAAATCGGTCCAAGAACCGTCAACATGCGGTCTTTGGCGGAAAGCCACGACGAAAGCGAGTCATGTGTATCGTGGAACTCCTTCATATCTTCCATAAACTTGATTCGGTTCTTTAAGTGATCGCTGACGCTCTTCCAATGCGAAACCACGTCTTCAAGTTCGTCGTTGAGGTTGTCGGCACCGGTAGCACCAGGTTTGCGTCTGAGCAAGTCTTTGACTTGGCTCTTGGTGGAGTCGAGTAGAGACTGCTTTTCGTACATTTCTTCAAGAACCTGCTTGATTTGGCGGTTGAGTTTGTCGGCTTCGTCTTTGGTTGACGGAACGATGTCTTTGGGGAGCTGTCGTTGGACGCGATCCAAGAAAGCGCTCAAAGTCTTCAAACTGTCTAGATGTTTCTTCAACTCGTCGCGAATCGAGTCGATTTCTGATTGTCGGTCGTTGATTTTAACACCAAGTAAGGAGTATCGGTTATTAATCTCGGACAGTTGTTGCTGGACAGGCGAAAGTTCTTCTAGGTGGAAACCGTCTTGACTGGAACGACGGGACGAGAATCCACTGGAACCTCCCGGTGAGAGGGGACTCAAACCCTTGGTTGGCGACGGGGAACGGGCATCTTGTGGCCTGTATCCACGCTTAGTTGGACTGTAAACTTGGCTTCTGCGCTTCGTGGGTGAATCTGGGCGATCTCCTCTTATCAAATTATCATACGCGGCTCCCACATCATTGACTTTGTCTATGGTCGAGGAATAATCTTTGTACTCTTTCGTAATCGGTTTAAGTTCCTCGTTCTGTTTCTTCAGGGTTTCGATATCTATGGCGACAATTTCAAGTCGCGCGATTCTGTTCTCGAACCGACTCAACCAATCGGTCACTTGCTCGCGCAACGTCTCATACGCATTCAACTGTTCGGATCTCTGTTTCGACAACTTCTGTTTCTCGTCAAGGAGGTTGCCGAGTTCGCGCCATTGGTTCTCCATCGATTTCACTCTGTCCCTCACATTGTTGGTGTCCGTAGTGTCTCTCTTGCTCAACAAATCTTTGCCACCTCTTACAACTTCCTCGAATAATGGCCTCTTGTCGTCCCGATTCGCAGCAATCTCTTGCATACGGGCCGCATACTCCTCAATGGATAACTTGGTGAACTCCCTCGACTCGATTATTTCGACAATACTAGCATGCCATTGTTCGAATTGGGTAGCACCGGCGATAAACACGGTCAACCCTTTGTTTACTTCCTCGAGGAACTCGCCCCGTTTCTGCGCCCTGTCGAACAACTTTTCAAATCTGGCCTTCACGTCGTTCAACTTCGTTTCGATCTTCTTAGCTACTCGAGCGTTGCTCGAGGATGCGATCAGTTCACTCGCTGATAAGTACACCGAGTCGATAGACGAGATGTGGGTGTCTATGTCCGACTGGAAGACCCGGTGTTCGCGCAGTTGCTCGTCGAGACGGTCTTTAATCAACGAAGCAGGTCTCTGCATGTTCTTGAACTGACTCTCTGAGGAATTCAACCACGAAATGATACTGTCAAGGGCGTCTTGGACCCCTTGGGACTGCACCAGCGCGGTGTCCAACTCCTGGCAACGATCGGCCAGAGCATTGCTTAATTGGACGTACTTCTGTTCGAGTTCGATGACGGGTTGTTCAAGCCGGGATATTTCTGACGGGGAGATTTGGCCTTGGAGCGAATGCAGAAGGGCATCGGTGGCCTTTGAACAGGCAATTAGATGCGACGTGGTGCGAGTGACGGTACTTACCTGCTTGGCGTTGTCGATGAGGCGGCCATTGGCCACGAATTCGTTGTTGAGGGCTTTGGCCCGATTGAGTTGATCTTCGACGGATTTCGGATCACCTCCAACGGGTTCGTCTAGGACTTTCAAGGCTCGAGGTTCCGCCTCACGCAGCCACTGCTTGGCTTTATCTACGGCGTCGCTGTATTCGCGTTGGCGGCCTCCGACGCCTGATAACCTGTCCGAGAGGTTGTTCGCTCGGCTTAAGAGATCGCGGTATTGTTGACCCACTATGGACACTTCGCTGCGGACCGGGGAGTCCTGGGCGGAAATGGGTTCGATGTGGTGCAAGCGTGATGGCAGAGAGGTGCGGAAGTCGTTCAAGAGAGCCAAGTATTCCTGGGTTGTGGCACCGTTTAGAAATTTCTTCGGGTCGAAAAACATACTTACCTTTCCCTCGTCGAAGAACTTTTGTGCCGACATGTTGATGAACCGGAGGTCACCTTGGTGGGCGATGACGTCGCTCACGAACTCTTTCGTGCTGTCCGCACTCGAATCCAGGCGCTGTAGGTCGCTCAGTGCTCGTTCTTTGTCTTCCAAGACTCGTCTGGCTTTACCCAACCATTCCGAGAAGATGTTGATTTCGCCTTTGAGTTTCGCTAGTTCGTCTTTAGCTGAGAGTAACTTTCTCAGTATTCGTTCGGTTCGATCGGCGGCTTTGTCGTAGCGTGTTTTCAAGTTGCGGCCGCTCTTTTCCAAAGCAGACACTTCGCTCTTCGAGAGGACATCGCCTGCTGTTAGTACCAGCTGTCGGACTTGGTCTCCGCAATGTGCAACTTGGCTCGAATGCTGGTCGAGATCGTCTCTGATCTGTTTCATCGTGTTGATCTTGTTGCGCAAGTCCTCCTCGACCTCGTGGATGGCGTCCTGCGAGGCGATCTTGTCTTCGACTTCGCCGATCCATTGCAGGAGTTTCGAAAGAGTTTCGTCACACAATTTGTATTTCTCCTCGACGGCTTGCTGCAAGTATTGTCAAGTTAGGGCTGGGATTTGTGTGATGGGGGAGGGGGAGCAGTTCCTACGCTAGTCAAACACAAGGTTGCATACGATACATATTCGCTTCGAGCAGTGGCTCGATAAGGACAATCACAAAACGCGTGAATTCTTCTGCGAGCATTCAGCGTAAGCTAAGGTCCCTAAACCTAACACATGCATTCAAGCGCACACACAATGATCGTGTTAGTGTAATTCAGAAAAAAATCGTGTTACCTATATGAGAACAAAAAAAACCTGAAAACAAACGCATTTTTAGATCACAGTTCAAAACAGTAATAACGTGTCCTTCAGTGACGTCGTTGTCGTCTAAATTGAGTTTTATTCTTATTAGAACGTAAGTTGGAAGCTTGATTTTAGATCGTCGCCTAACTTACTGCGTTACGGTTTGTTATTGAATTTTAGAACGATATCGATGATGGTGAAAGTTGTCATTCGTTTTAGTCCGGTCAGTTTAAAATTCATCTCTAGACTATTCGTGAGCGGTAGTCTAGAGTGAATTGATGATGGGGTTAAGAATGGGATCTTAAAAACTGGAAGCATGTCGTAAGCCATTCCACGTTTTAACAAGTTAACGCGCACAAGAGGCTGTCGCTTATGCCTTTTAATGCACGAATGTAGTAGGACCACCACAAAATAAGCTCCCAGGGCCCGAAGCTGCAAAAAATTATTATTACGTCAGTTTATAATCCAATCAAGTAGTCTAATTGATTGTCGAAGTGTGTTATATTATCCATTTCAAATTTGCCGCGCTGTAAAAAACGTGTAGCATGTGGGCAACGTGCTGATGATGGATGATGCGACAAACACATGAATGAGAACACAATTCAAAATGGATAATCATGGGAAGCACGATAGCATTCTTAAGCAACAACTTCGAGCAATTAATAAAGCAACACACCACCAAAAGCAAAATCCGTGCATAAGTCGAACTTCTGCCCGGATTTCCATTAAAGGCCTAAAATGCAACATAAAACTCACCCTTTGTTCTGCAGGCAATATCAAACCCTTTTCGTGAGCTTTAATAAAATCGATGTCTTTATCGCCGCTCTGATCTCGTATCCTACCATCCACAGCGTTAACGAGTTTGGCGTCGATAGCGTGCAGAAGAGGCACCACGCCTCCACTTTCCGGATCCTTGACTACTGTACTAGATGGGTCTATCAAGTTATCCGTGATGGCCTCGTCCAAAGTTAGACGCTTCCTATCGATAATCGACGTAGTGGTGAACGGGCAAGTGAATCCCCCGGTCGTCGGGTTGTATAAGCCGTAAATGATGGCTTCGATGAGCGTGAAGCCACGAGATGGCGTTATCAACAAGCCACTGTCTATAGCCGTCGGGAGAGGATACAGTTTCGACGTTGAACTATCAAGAACGTTGGCTTTGTCGGCGTCTATGAGGCCCTTTCTGAAGCCTTCAGGAAGCTTTATCAATTTTTTCTTATTGCCGTCTTTGATTAAAGCAGTGTCGGGGTCGATGAAGCCCAAACTGAGCGAGTCTTTCAACGACAGGACTTCCTTCGACTGCGGTTCGGTAAACTTACCGGTACTAACATCGAGGTGATTCGATTCGATGGCTTGGAGGAAAGTGAGGGGTTCTTGAAGGTAAAGGTTCACGTTTTGATCATACACAGCGACGCGCGATTTAACATTGTCTTTCTGTGGCTCGAAAACGACCATTTTGTCGGGGTCGAGAACTTTAGCTTCGAGAGCGTCCTGTACGATTTTGAACTTACCGGTCTGCAAGTCTTTGATGACGGCTTTTTGCGGATCGACCAATTCGAATTTGATCGCGGCTTCGAGGGTACATTCGCGTGCCGTTTTTGACGCCTTAACGGAATCAGTGTGCACCTTTTGTATGAGATCTTCGGCTAAAGGTTTATCCAAAGTGACTAAAATACCTTTTTCTAGAGCGACATCGAAATTATAGGTTTGTTTAGACTTGGCATCCAAAACGCGGCCTTTGTCGGTATCGATCTTACCGTCTTGGATAGCCGCAGGAATAGATTTAATACTACCGCTGAAAGGATCCTTGAACGCGGTGGTTGTTGGGTCGATTAAATTGTTAACAAGCGCTTGGGATATGTCGTAGAACTCAGCGTTGAGAGGATCAGCGAACTTACCAGAATCCGGTCGGTATAAACCGTTGCGGATGGCCTCTTCTAGAGTTAGGTTGCGTCTAACCGTTACGATCAAGCCTTTACGTTTGGCTTCCAGCAACGTGATTGAGTTACCGTTTGGAAGAATGAAAATCCCCAATTCTGGGTCGATTAATTTAATTTCTACAGCTTCAGTTAGCGGGATGTATTTATTTTGTTTGCTATTTTTAACAAGGGAGGTTACAGGATTGACCAACTCGTTGGTACACGCGTCTTTAAGAGTGAACTTGCGACCGGTGGCTGGGTGCACGAACATTCCGTCGTCCGGTTCGTACAGACCCATGTCTATGGCTTCATATAACCCGAAATTGGCGGTTTCAATGTCCACAATCAACCCTCTGTCTAACGCTTCACTCAATTTCATTACTTCGTCAGTGCAAGGGTCTCTAAAGACCCCGTTACGTTTATCGACGATGCCTAACCTACACGTATCCGTCAGTGTGACCAATTTACCGCGTTTCTTATCAAAGTACACCGGTAGCAACGGATTGACGATGAACTTACGAATGGCTTCGTGCAAAGTGATTTTGCGGTCGGTGTGAGGATCGACGACTTTCCCGGTCGGTTCATGGTACAACCCTTGGTGAATTGCGCGTTGCAAAGAAACCGCAGCCTTATTATCTACCAAAATACCCAAATGGAATGCTTTCTGCAAAGAAACCTCGTAATTCTCGCCCTGTGAAAAGTCCTTAACGTTCCCGGTGTTTCCGTCAACGTAACCGTTATGAATAGCGTCCACCAGAGGGATCTTTCGCCACACTCCCACTCTAGTGTCCTTAATGCTAACCGAGTCTGCATCGATCAAGTTAATCTCGATAGCTTCGATCAAAGTCAAGTAGTTGCCGGTTTGAGGGTCCAAGAACAACTGCGACTCTTCGTCGTATAGACCTTTCGCTATAGCTTCGCTTAGAGGGATCGGAGGACCCACTTCTACGAGTAACCCGCGTTCGAAAGCTTCGTTGAAGTCGATAGGTTCGTGTCGCGAGCTAATAACAACCCCTTCTACGGTATCTATGTACCCCTCAACCACAGCCTGCTCGAAAGTAACTAGTTCCTCGTCGATCGTCACGAGGGTAGACGACGTATCTACATACCCGCGATTAATGGCGCTTTCGGTCCTCAATCTCTCTTTACTCTTAGGGTTGATGAATTTCCCGGTCGCTGGGTCGTAGAAGCCTTTGAAAACAGCCTCGGGTAGCGTGATTTGGCTCTTGTAGGGCACAATTAAGCCCCGATCTTGCGCGTCATACAAGTTGTGTTCCGTGTTAGTCAACGGGTCGTATGCTTGACCCTTCACTGGGTCTATAATTCTTAAACTGATCGCATCGTTTAAGGTGATGATGTCGCCCGAACGCGGATCTTTGACTGTGAGAACGTTGGGATTAACTACACCCCCTTCGATGGCCTGTACTAGAGTGATGTTCGCGTTGTTGACCGTGAATTGACCGGTCTTCGGGTCGTACACTTTCTGTGCTAAAGTTTCTTGTAGAGACCAGGGAAGGACTGTGCTTAGAATGTAGCCCTTGAGGTAGGCTTGGTCTAGAGGTAGAATGGGTTCGGTGAGAATACCTTTTTCTGGGTCTACCAAATTACTCTGAATCGCTTCTTTCAATTCTACTATTCTTCCACGCTTGTTGTCCTTAATTCGGGTAGTTACGGGGTCGACGAGTTTGTACTCAATAGCTTTCTGTAATGTGATTTCTTCGCCGGTGATAGGATTCAAGATGGTACCTGAACGAGGCAGGTAGTAGTTCGAGAGTAGTGCCTGCAGGAGGTTAAATACTATGGGTTTGCTACGAATAAGTTGTCGGTCCAGAGCTTGGTTAAGCGGCACCAGCTGCCCAGATTTGGTGTCTTTTAGTTTTCCGTCTTGAACTAAATTAGTTTTCAGGGCTTCGTCGAGTGGAACGAAAGTACCAGCTTTCGTATCTTTGACTTCGCTGATTTTATCGTCGAGGATATGTCTGTCGATAGCTTCAGGTACCACGAGGGATTGTCTAGTTATGGGATCAATAATAGTGGCAGTTTCTGGATCATACAAGCCTTTACAAATTACAGCTTCTAAAGTGATGGGTCTGGGTAAAGCCCGAACGAAACCGTGGAGGAAAGCTTCGGGGAATGTCATGGTTTTTTGAGTAGCAGTGTTTAAAACTAATGCTCTTTGCGGATCGACAATCTGTTTGTCGATTGCTTCGTAGTACGGAATCAGCTGCATGTTCTTCTCATCACGAATCGTAACGGATTTCGGGTCAACAAGATTCGTCATCAAGGCTTTGTTTAACGGAATTGTTTCGTCTTTCGATTTCACTTCGACTTTGACCGGATCGAAATCATCAGTGTCTACAATTTCCTCGAGAGTTAGAGGTTGATATTTTTCTTTCGGTTTATCTCTGACATCTATGATCCACCGTAACTTCACGGCTTCGAAGAATGGGACCCTTTTACCAGTCTTGGGGTCCACCATGTAGCCTGTGTTTTTGTCTATAAGCGGCCTAGTGATAGCCTCGTCCAAAGTAACGTATACTGGTGGTTTGCTGGTTAAATCTTTCACTAAAATCGCATTCGGATTGAAAAGGTCGAGACCGTAGATAAATTCTTGGAATGTGATGTTATCACGGGTCTGAGGATCGATGAAACGACGTGACTTCAAGTCGAAGCAGCCCAATTCCGCTAATTTTTGTGGCGTCACATCTTTAGAAATGGCCAACATTGCAGTCGGCGGGTGTTCAATCAATACTACCGAAGTTTTATCAATAATCTGAACAAGATCAATGGGTGAGAGTTTGTTCTGTTTTAATCCGTCTTGTATGGTGTACGGCAACTCTTTTCCGTCTACTGTGATGCGACAAACTTCGGGCACAATTCTTCCTTGAGCTAAAGCGTCACCTAGAGGCATTTTATCCCCAACAACGTCAATTTCCTCGAACTTATCCTCAATGACCGAAGTTTTCGTTTTCACTTCCTCTTCGCTGCTTTCTAGAACGTTCCTGATCACGGTAATCTCAACCTTTTGCTTCGGAAGTTCTTTAACTTTTTCTTTCGCCTTATCTTTCTTTTTCTCTGCATAATCTTTCACAGCTTTGACGGCAGCAGCCCCCGCCAGAACCGGCGCAACTACTGGCATGGCCAACCCTCCTAGTACGGCAATCAAACCTTTCTTGGTGGCCTCCTTAAAATCGATGGACTTCCCGGTCTTTTGGTCATGTACCTTACCGGTTTGAGCGTCGATCAAGCCCTTTTCTACCGCTTGTTCGACGGTGATAGGTTTTTGAGAGGCGACATCGTAAACGACCGAGTTCGGGTCGATGATTTCCTTCTTGACGGCTTCCTCGAACGTTAGTGCTTTGTGAGGGTCGTTCGGGTCTTGGAACTTGTTCGTGGTTTCGTCGTAAATGGTGTCAAAAGCTTGTGCGATGTTTAGTTCTGTGGTTTTATTAGACTGGGAGTCTTCAACGGGTGTTGCTGAAAGTTTGCCGTCTTGGAGAGCCTCCTTGATCAGGATTTTCTCGCCTGAGTTAGGATCGGTGAAAGTACCAGCCGTCATGTCAACAAGACCTCGGTTCAAAGCGTCCGAGAACGACATCTTGATGTCCTTCAGTGTAGTGGTGTTCTTGGTTTCTTTGTCGTTGATCACAATTCCTTGCTTGCGGGCTTCTTCGATGGATATGATTTGGCCGGTCTGTGTGTTTAGAACTTCGGTAGTGCTAACGAGACTATAACCGGACAAGAGTTCGATCGTTCTGGTGGTTACTGTGTGTACTGTATTAACAGTTTCAGTGACGGTAGTAACGGGGGTTGCACTAACAGCAATTGGATAATGTTTGATCACTAAAAGTCCTTTCTCTACGGCTTCCGTCACGGGTAGGACTTCTCCGCTTTTGGGGTCCTTGAAGGTACCGTTCTCTGTATCAATCAACTTACCGTCTAACGCATCCTCAATTTCCACACACTCAGGTTTCACAGGGAACGGCACCGCCATGATGACCCCTTCTTCGATAGCGTCTTTAAGCGGAATCCGCTCTTTCGTAATGGGATGTTCAAATTCCTTCTTATCCGCATCTACTAACCCTAACTTTACAGCTACAGGGAATGTCAAACCAGCCTTTGGTAACGTCGCAGGACCGGAAGGCACTCTTTCGTCGAAAATCTTATCTTTAACAGCTTCTCGCAAATCTACACTACCTCTACTCGTTTTAACGGTCGCTTTTTCATCGTCAACAACGCCACTCTCAAGAGCCTGCTCAAGAGTGACTTTAGCACCAGTGTGTTCAGTTAAAGTACTTAACGGATCTACGATATCACAGACGATTGCTTCGCTAATACTTAAGTGAGCACCAGTTTCTGGATGCACAACCTTGTGGCTGTGGGGGTCAATAAGGCCTTGTTGGAACAACTCGGGAATCGATAAACTTCGGTTAAGCGGCACGAGCAACTCGTTGTTGGCGCTTTCGGGATCTAAAATACCGCGGACGATCGCTTCGTTGATCGTTAGCAGATCGCCACGTTGAGGGTCAATAATTTTGCCTTTATCTCCGTCAACTTTCTTAGAATCTAGGGCTTCTTTCAGAGTCAAGGTTTCGCCACTCGGAGACACAAAGTTTTCTTTTTTGTCTAAAAGCTTAGCGGTGTCTGGGTCGATCATCCCTTTTTCCACCGCGTCCTTGGGTTTTACAATCTTTTTGCGCAATTTTTGTAATATCACTCTCTTGGCTTCACGCTCGGGGCTCAACGACTGTGCTCGCCCTATTGTGACCTTATACGTGGGTTCGATGGTGATTCTTGCTCGGGTTTTTTCGGCCTCTGAGGGTTCCTCCACGTCGTCGTCCACCTCCATGGGGGTACGCATCACCTGGTCGTATTGCTGTGGAGTGATCACCCCTTGTTGCAGTGCTTCGTGTGCTGTGTAAGTCTTGTTAGTTTTGGGGTCCGTCACCGTGATGGTGCTGGTTACGGTGGGCGTGACGGTGGCGTAGGCGTGCGACGGAGACCGAGACTCCTCGATAAAAGCCTGCGATTGCAATTTATTAAACTCGTCTTGGCCGATTACCCCACGCTGCAAAGCCACTTCGGCCGGGATTTTCTCTCCAGATTTCGGATCCACGACGTAGGTTTTGAACGCTTTAATGACGGTGTAGGTGGCTGCAATGGGTGCACCGACCACCGTCAGAACTCCATATTTGGCAGCATCTACTAGGCTTATCTTGTGACCGGACTTGTTGGTGTAGTCGCCGGTGTCTTTATCTACGATGTTGCGCCTGATGGCCTCACTCACCGGGATTTCTTTGCCGGTGTGTGGGTCTTTAACTGTAACGGAATTCGCGGGAATTTGGTTGCTTTGGATCGCTTGCAGTAACGTGGTTGTTTGATTAGTGTCCGGATTAATTACAAGTGCACTTGATGGGTCGTAGATCACGTTTGGTTGAAGTTGCACGAGCTGAGTTTCTTTGTCATCGGTCATCTTGACCTCGGTGTATGTAGGAGGATGATTATCCAAAACGTTCGAAACCTCGACTTTGTCGGGTCTACCGTCGAACTTCGTAATTTGTAGTAGGCGCTGAGTGGTTGTTTCCACCTCCATTTGACTCTCAAACAAGATAAGTTCTTTGCTAATTGCTTCTTTCATGGTGATTTTGTCGATCCCTAACGTGTAGTGACCCGTGTCGTCAAGAATCTTTTTGCTTAAACTCTTCACCAGACTGACTCTGCGTTGGTTCGACGGGTCAACAACGACGGCAGAAGCCGGATTGATTAATTTAAGAGTAATACATTCTTGAAGACTCGTCAATCTATCAGTACCCGGAATAATAAACAGTCCCGTAACCGGATCAAACAACTTTTGTTTGATGGCGTCTTCCAAAGACCACCCCTCAATCGGTAACTCATAAACTTGTTTTTCGGAGGCACTTTTCTCACTAACCAATAAATCAGTAGTAGCAGTTTGAGCATCTGTCTTTTTAACGTCAATAGGAACTTCTTTACGACTCGTAATCGTAATAACAGTGGAATTTCTTGGAATGGTACCCGTACTACTAATCACCTGGTCCGAATTCTCCGAATCCGGAGCCAACTTACCTTCGCTAATAGCCTGAACGATTGGAATCACTTCCTCGGTATCCGGATCCTTGAAAGTCTGATCCTCGTTATCAATCAACCCCAACCTCAACGCTTGCGTGTACGTCAACTGCGTAGACTTTATCTCCTTGTTCGAAACCGTCACGTATCTCTGCACCAACGTACGCGTAACTTGCGTCGATACGTTCAAATTTAAGAGACTGTTCAACATGGCGGCACCCTCTGGCGTTATCAAATGTTGCGCGATGGCTTCGTTCAGATAAACGACTTCGTTGCGCGAAATGTCGATCAAGTTACCCGTTCGAGGATCGATGTAACCGCGAAAAACCGCTTCAAGCACCGTCAATTCTTTTTGGTTTTCGAAAATACCGATTTTGCGCGTGAGCATGTCGTACACTTCGGGTTTAACTTCGCCGGTTTTGACGCCCTCGGAGAAGGGAACGAGTTTGCCGGTTTTTGAGTTGGTCAAAAGACTACCGTTCGATTTTTTGCTAATGTACCCTTTCGCGTTTGACGCGTTGTAGCTAATATGGTCGGATTTATCCGGGGGTTGGAAGGCGTCAACATCAAAGATTGACTTTTTCACGACCGAGATGATATAACCACGACTAACCGCCTCTTGAATGGGCAACATTTCTCCAGTTACGTTATTTTGGAAATGACCATCCGGAGTGATAATGCCTTCTTTAAGAGCGTCGCCTAAAGTGACTAGTTCGTTTCTGCGGAAATCCAAGATGGATTTGATGGAGTCTACGTCTAGGACGCCGCGAGCTACGGCTTCTAGGATGGATAAGCGGACCGTGTGAGGAGGGAAAAGGATTTTCCCAGACTCGTCCATCAAGCCATCGTCGACCACCTCTTTCAACGTTTTGGGTTTAACGATCAACTGGCGACGTTTCGCCTCAAGGAACGAAAGTTTTTCATGGAAATACACGTACTTGCCCAGCTTGGGGTTAATAAGCCCTTGATCGATGGCTTGGATGACTGTGAGCTTATTGTCGGTCCTTGGATCGACGACTTCGCGTATATCTCCATCAACAACGTTCGTTTTAACCGCGGCATCAATCTGATATTTACTTCCCGAGTTTCTATCCACGATCCAACCCGTCCTGTCATCGATCAACCCTTGGGTAATCGCATCCGACAGCGCCATAGCTCCTGTCTGTAATTTAACTTCCGTGTGCTGCAAGAGGTACCCCCTTCTGTACGCCTCTTTGATATCAATCGTCTCTCCCGACTCCAGTCTGTACGTTCCGGAATTGACATCAACTTTCCCATCATCGATCGCTTGGCTGATCGTCGACGAATGCGTTACCTTTACCCGTTTCTCCGACGGGTCCACGAATCCGTGCTCAGCTTCGTAAATCTTCCTCTGTATCGCTTCCAACAAGGTTAATTCTCTTCCGTCTTCGTAAATCCCGCACGGACTATACAACCCTTCGGCTATCTTCGGCTCGATCACCTCCATCTTCAAAGCCTCCTCGATGGTAACTTGCGTCCCGTCGCTCGAAATCACGATCTTCCCGGTCCTCCCGTCCAGGATCCGGGCAGAAATGGCTTCGCGTACGGTAATGACCTCCCCCGTGTACGGGTTGACTATTCCAGGGGTGTCTGTTATATCTTCAGTACCGATACCTTCGTGGACTTTGTGTACGCGTTTCAAAGACTTGATTTCGGTAAACTGCATAGTATTGCCCCAGTTTTGGGACTCTTGGATGATCTGGGTTTTCGTGGTGTACTTATCGGGGGGTCTCCCGTTGGATATAGTGTCACCTTCATTAACTTGGGGGCGATCTACGGTGTCTGTTATGGTGATGGTGGTACCGTTTTCGGTGCGGACCGGTTTCGTTTGGATGTACCTATATTTTTGGGTTGGTTGAGGCGTTGGGGGTGGAATTGTGGGTACTTACTGTTTGCTGAAGTGCGTCGTGGTGGTGTAGGAGGATGTGTGTTCGCTGGCGCTGCTCATGTGGAATTCGGACCGGAAGGTCCGGTGTGGGCGTGGCTGCATCTGTTCGATGAGTCTCTGAAAGGGGAGAGACGATCAGACTAAACGGTGCTCGCTTCGCTCGCTATATATTTTTGACTATTCGATTATAATGACTACCACAAAGAAAACGTTTAATATTGTAGTGCGGAGGTATTAATAGATGCGTGTTCTCAAAGGGATACATCACGATCTAATTCTAAAGGCACAATTAGGCACGGAACAGACCAATAAACTCCACAAAGTGGTGATTCATTTCGAAATCACTGCTCAAAGTGCTATTCTAAGGCCCGCACTTAATTGTGCTCCACAGATTTAGCCAAGTGCCTCCCAGGGGAAAAACACAATTGGTTTAAGCTTTAAATTAGACATAGCGTCGACAGTCGATTAGAAATTGTACAGCAGTCGCTCAACCCGCTTTATTTTTAACTACATCTGTCGATTAAAATAGAATGAATGGAATGATTTCAGCCAATTCATAACTTTAATTGATAATTGTTTCCAGTTAATTGTGAAAGAAACGAAGCTCCGGCGGTGAGCGCCACGAGGTAGAACCTCAAGGTAACATTTTTGTCGGCTTATTCAATTCATTCATCATTCGCGGCATGAATTAGTACCGTTGTTAAAATTCGAACAGGTGACGCAAGATCACTTGGTAATTCTAAACTACCAGTGTTATTTAGAAGCTTGTAAATGAGACCGTCACAACAAGTTTTATGATTTGAGTGTTTGCCTAACGAAATACACTCCTTCATCAATAAAATGTCAAATTTAGCTCGTGCTGTGAATTCAGGTTGGGTTATTTTCAAATGCGGTTCATTTTGTATTCGATGATTAATTTTTAAGAGTAGGCGAAAAGTTACTGTCTTGCAACCCTGAGTCGTAAATGCTAATTTGCATTAGCACCTTTATCTTTATTGCGTCTGATTAAAGCATAAAATATTTAAGAACCTGCTATTCTTCGTCATGTATTGTGCAATCACCGAAATTATTAACTTGTAATAATGAATTCTGATGCATTGTTTCTCTCCTTGCGCAAATCGTAATTGTTTATTAAATCTGTGAACAAGTAGTTAATTCGGTACTTGGGTAAAGGTCACCCGTACCGATAACATCTAAGAACACATTTTTTTGCTATTAATCTAAAAAAAGTAAACACGGTGTGAACAAACACACTAGATAGTGGATAACAATTTAAATACAATAAATGAAGTCATTTCCAACCAAGTCCAAGCGATAGAAAAAAGCCAGTATTGAAATGAGCCGATGACAATGACGACCACAGTGACATCACCTCTATATAAAGTTTTGTAAGAATTTTCGTGAAACAGCAATCACAATCAATCGAGTGAAGTAAGTATCCAAAATAAGAATTATCATAATGGCTGACCTACTGAAAAGAAAACGCTGTGACTCATTACAAAAACATAATATTTATATATAAAGTTCGAAGCAAAGACCTATAGATAACCGACTTATTTATTGGAATAAAAAATGTTAATTATGCGAAACATATATCAATATACAGTATGCATGGAATGTAGTTAACAAAATGGGTCGTAATAAAAAACCATAACAGCAAGCATACTTGGATTTCGTTCGGATGATTCAAGACAGAAATTTATACGAGGAGTGAAGAAGGCTTTTGCAGCCACAAATCTGTTTTATTATAGATTTCCCCAAGATTGAAAAGTGATTTTTTTTTTATCCAGGACCTGGGTTCAAAAACCAGTTCAAAAAACGAAGAAAATTACGTGGAAAGTATTTTAATGGGCCTAAAGCAAGAGCTAGAATGAAGAAAATGCACTTTTCTCAGGTAAGTTCTACTCCACTTTTTCAAAAACCATAAAAAACCATCAAATACTAACACTCGCTAGATGAGAAAAATGTCACTTCTTTCTCTACAGTTACGAATAAAATGTGTTTTCTTAAAGGTCCTGTGACAGTTCTACATTTGATAAGTGAGGAACGCAAGTGTGATAAATATTTTGATAGAGAGAAAATACTTTCGTCACGGACTTTTCGTAAAATTTTTTCCACAACTGTAAATAAATAAAGAAATGTATGACATTTTACTATTTTTATTATTTGAGTTCTATCCTTTCCAAAGTCCCCATTATAATTAAAATATAACTCAATGTTAAAATATTTCAATTCTAAGTGACAAATGAACCGCAGGACTATAGATTATCGGCCATTTATTGCAACTAAAAACGTAAATTAGGTAATTAAATTGCAGTATGTGTTTAATGTTGGCTGTTTATCTATAAATGCAAACTAGCATAAGAAAGCTGAATTATTAATTAAAAAGAAATAATAACAATAATAATAAATTGTTGGGTAATAAAAAACTACGAAAACGTGAAGGATACTTCGAATTTATTTCAGATGATTGTACGCTTCGGCAGGTTGAACATCCATAAAAATTTTCAAATATTACGAAAACAAAATTGCAAAACCAATTAAAAGTTATAGTAGAAATTTGTTATATGTAAAGTACTGAATTCCTTTTCCATTTATATGATCTAGAAAAATATTGCGTTTTTCAAAAATCTGCAAAACCAAATTTAATTTTTTAATCCTTTCTCTTCCAAAAGTGTCACACACTGAAAAATAAATTTCAAACGGTACAAATGCACCAATCAATAAAAAAATTTCTCAGACGATAGAAACAACAATTTTTGCAACAACAATTTAAAAAAAATCAATAGAGATATTTTCCATAAAAATTGAATTCCACGACGATGTAATTCTTACACAACCACGCAAAATGCACTAGATAATCGCAACCTCAAAAATTCCTGAGAAATAGAAAGTTGAATTTCCCCAGGAAAAAATCGGAGTGTTGCAAAATCCGTCAACTAGGTTGTACCATAGATTAACAATTACCCCAAGCACTAAGATGATGTCATGAAAACGCAACACTTAATCGATGATCATAATTACAGCCAAAACCCCATATTAAAAATTAAAAAAAAGCCCCAAGCATCCTTGCATTTTCTTTCCATAACGGTAAAGCTCCCACCGGAAACCTTTGTTTAGCCAACAACGTAAATATTTAAAAATCCGTGACCCCTTTCCTCTTCTTGTCTTGACCCCCCTTATCAGCGGCTCCATTTTAACCCATCTTTCCACAACCCGTAACATTTTCAGCAGCCGAGACGTCGCCATGGAGCGAATCAATACTGCGGCTGTTGTCGTAGGTTAAGAAATCTGTCAATTTGCTTAACCTAACCGGCTAATTACCGGCGAAAAACGTAACCGGAATATAACCTCAACTCAAAACGCAGTTAAAATGATTAAAATATCAGCGAGAAAGCCGCGATTAGATAACGCAGGTAAATATTTCGTGGCGCTTTTATTTTTATTTTCATGCTCCCGGGAAACGCTCCGTCTTCCAGACGGTATTGATTGGGAAAGTGGGAATACTGACCCATGGGGCGCCGCTGTCCCATGGTATGGTGCCCAACTCGAAGTGGAAGTCGTAGTCGTCACTCATTGTCAATCACAGAGTAATAATAATAATAATACTAACACTCACTAATTTTTTTTTTTTTGAAAAAACCGAACCGAAAATTTTTAGAAAACGAAGTCAAAAACGATAATAAACATGACAAAACTAGTTAAAACAAGTCCGTCGGTTTCGCAGTGCACACCGGCGCGAACCGTGATGTACTAAACCTCAAACTCCACATAGCGAAAAATGATTATCGGCGAAGCTTTCCGAACGCCGCCGACTCTTTAATTAAAAACGTTTTATTTTTAGACTTGATGCATTATTTTCCGACGGATAAAAATCCACAACTAATTAAAAACTGAAACTAGTCGACCCCCTCTCCCTTAACTGTAATAAATTTTTATCACTGCATTGACTTACGCAAGCCCCCTTTACAAACATAAACAATATCATGTTATGGTAATTCAAGTTAATTCCAGCGCTGACTTCACCTGATAATGCATTTTTGCAAAATGGAGTCACGTGGGTCGGTTGTGGGTGAACCTTGAGAGAGCACCCATGGTGGAGGCGCCGTATTTGGGCATGCCGTGGGTGGACGACATGTTTTTCTCCTTACAAATAAAGGAGAAATAAGATTGCATACACCGCGGGTAAAAGCTTTGTTCCACGAAAGTAGCTATTTTTAACACTGCTGTCACACAATTCCACCGATTAGATAATAGAAGTGTCGGTCAAGGTTTTAGGTCTTGGTACTTCTAATTCGCGACGAATGGTTCGGAATTGGAATTAATTCCCAATGCAAATAGACGTCGTAGTAAACAGTTACGACGGGCGTTATAGTCAGCTTTTAACAACTCCAACGCGGCTGTGTTTGTAAACATTTCAAAAAATGTCAAGGTGAGTTTTCGTTGAATTGATCAGGTGAAGATGAGATAATCGAACAAAATATGTGCGTAATTAGAAGAATTCTGGTCGACGTTGATTAAATTCCATAAATCATGGAGATTAGATAATCTCGAAATCGGTTACATCTGATTTATATACTTTGTTTTTGTGTCAAATTCAAATAGGTGTTTCAAGGTTTCTTATGGTTTTTTCGGTCAAATTTGGTGTGGATTTCGAATTTATATATTCTTTGTAGTACGTGAAGCGTTAAATTAGCAGCGGATGGTGTGAACCTTGAATTTATGAGATTACGAAAAAAAGAATGACGAATTTTGGAAACTAGTTCATATCTAAATTTAAAATAGACAAATTGTGCTCGAAATAGTAGTTTCTCCGACGGATTTTTTTGGCGCTTCTATCGGTGACAGGAGCGCCATCTCTTGGCGTTACAGATAAATTTTAGCAACTATTAACATATACAATTTCTTTACCGGTGAGTATGATTTTTGAAAGATATTATTGGAAAAGGAACTATTGTTTTTGTGTTAAAAATAAACAGACAGACAGACAGACAAACAGACGGAAACGGGAGACTACTTTTTTCGTACTGTAGGGGTCATGAAACATCGAGAAAACATAAATGTGGCACTTCAACAAATTTTTAATAGTATTTTATAAATATCACTTTTCACAAATTTTGAAAAACTAAAGAAATTACTGTTTTTACTATTTCAGTGCTTCTCCCACTCAGAAAATTTCCTACTTCCTTCTCTGAAGAAATGGCTGAAAAGCGAAATTTTTCCACAGCTCTTGGAATAATATTGGGGACAAGTGTAAAATATGACTCCGTCACAAATATATACACAATTTTCTTTCATTGAAGAAGAATATAAAAAATTACTTTGATGAGCCAAAGGCGGGCAGAACTAGGACATACTTTGGTCACGCGGTTTAATAACTTTGAAAAACCAGTTTCAGTACTTTGTTCAATAATTAATAATTTTCTCACTGAGCAAAAAATGAGTTTTTCAAATATTGTGTTGATGAAGAAAATCTGAAATGTTTCTTACACGTACTTAAATGGTGCAGTTTTCGACCAAAAAATCTACTGTTATATCCGCCGTCTACAAACTTCTCGACAAGTTTTTCCAGTTTTTATTTCCAGACCGTAAGCTAAGGACATGTTGTAGCAGGTTCATGTTTTCTCGACGTTCATGATCCTTAGTATACCAAAAAAATAGATCTACCGTTTCCGTTCGTCCGTCTGTCTGTGTCAATTTTTCTTAGACAGATAATCTTCAGAACTACAGGACCAACTGTTGTAAAATTTTACATGTATGTTACGAATACATATCGCTAAACAAAATTTGGCTAATCATCCCCATCAACAATTTGATGACGTGCCTTCGCTGTTTTTTTTATTAAATGCCATTTTAAATTTGATAACAAACATATTTCTATATGTGATTTATGAATCCGCCTTTATTTTTTTTACCCTAAGCATCAAAATTATCGCAAAAAACCCAAACTGTATAACAACATTTTACAATGTCTTTAATTTTTTTTTTTTTTTCACTGATACTGCTCATAGAGGCTATCACAAATAAAATGTCCCAAAATCAAATTTTATAATTTTTCAAAAAAGCGTGATTTGTGGACTATAATTCAGCGACGACGAAAGTTCTGCCGAAAGAAACTTCTACGATTTTTTGTAATAGATTCTGTGAATGGTAAATTGTAACTATTCTGAATCTTGCTCAAAATTTTACTTCCAATATACATACTGAAACCATAAAAGCGAAACACGATTTTTAAGATTGTACAATTTTTTTATATTGTTTACGATCAAATTAAACTTGTTACTAAAAACTTTATCATGAATATAAAAGATAACCAAATACACGACATGTCATCGCAAATAGGGTAAGTAAATATATGAAATAAAAAAACCATTACTTTCAAACCATACAAAAACGTTATCAATATTTCTCAATTTTACGATATTCCCCCTATAATGTGTACTCAAAACACGATAACCCACATAAAAATTCAAAGTTTATATTATACTCTGGCGGATATTACAAAACAAACAACATTCATCTCAAATAAAGGGAAGTTCACGATACGCAAAAAGTTGTGACGTCAGAAAGGCACTTAGCATATGGTACATGGTCAATCAATATGCTATATTATCACCAATTATCTTCTTACATTCATCTTTTCAGGATACGTCGATAATTGAAAAGAATATTCACACGATTTTGATTAAAAATCTATTTACCCAGAAATGTCAATTGACCTTAATACCATGCACGGTTTCCTTCACATTTATACAGCCAGACTGAAAATAAAATCATCTCAATAAAAATTAACGTTGTATTTTTGAACCAGTTCAAACAACAGATTAATACAAACTTTTCGCTTTGTTTCACGACTACAAACTGCGACGCTGAAAAATGCGACATCAATTTAAACAGCTTTAATATTATAATACATTTACAAGTTAAAATTTGACGCATCACATCAACGGTAAAATTATTAAAGCCGCGAGAACAGCCATTATTTTTTAATGCGTTTAAAAAATTGTAAGCACACTTAACAGGCTATAAAATCATAGATAATTTTAAAACCACACTTGGCGTCTAAAAATAAAAACTTTATTTAACTGTTATGAAATTGTTTCTCGCAGTTAAAACAGCAAATGAGCAAATGCTGTCAATGCAAACCATAATTCTGACGGTGGCCACTAAAAGTACGCACCGAACTATCTAAAGTAAGTGACATCAGTTGCATAAGTGCAAGCTCTATCGACAAGACAGGAAGATTAATTGGACGTTTATTGCCTTCATTATCAGCTGACATGTAAACACTTAACGCATCTATTAATGCGAAAACTTTCTTTTTGCTCATTTCTGAAAGATACTACTATTTGCACAACAAATTAACGGATTATGTACATACAAGGTAGCGAAATGATCGCAATTTCCACGCAACAGTGAAACTGTTCCAATTCTTTCATAATAACCAAACTAAACGCTCTTCAACGTATCATTAAATTCGGCTTTTACAGCACATTAACTTATAGTTTTGTACTCACCAACGTTACGATGTCCCCTGGAGACCTCGCCGCGATCTCCTGCAGCCGCCCATACAACGCATCAATCAGGTACTGGTACCTAGCGTTCAGGTCGTCCAACTCTTTGGCGACGACGTCTGCACCGCTCGGCCCGCTGTCCTTGCTCCTGAAGGCCGCATTCGCGTCCAGCGACGGCTGCGACTCCAGAAGCGCCTCCCTGAACCTCTGCAGCCCCTTGCTCCAGATCTAGTGTTAGGGTTAGAGGTTAGGGGTCAGTTGTTAGTCCAGTCAGTGCTTTAGTTGACATTACATGAAGCTGTGACTAATGTGAACGTGTGACTGAAATGTGTATGTGAGAGACATAATCACCAGAATCAAAGATTCAAACTCTACGATAACAGTAGCGGGTGCTAGAAAAAATAAGTGACAAAGAAAGGATTTCTGAATACTGGAACAAATGGTTTAAACGTACAAATAATAAAATAATAATAATAATAATCATAATAACGGCCAGTGATTATGTCGACGAGTGTCGGTTCTGGTAGTGTAAATCAATCTTCGTAACATTTAAACAAAGAGGAGATAAAATTAAGCGAGATTTTGAGGTTATAATGGGCGCCACTTTGGATGTGAGTGGCGTCGCGGTTGTTATAACCTCGGCAGTATAGAAGAGGGGTTTAAGGGGCATACTCGTGTCTTCTATTTTGGGGTTCCGACACAACGTAGGCGCCACAAACCCGTAAAACGTATGTAAAGAAAAGCAGTGACAGTGGAAACATTGAGATCTGAGTTGGAAAAAAGTTTGTACAAGATTTAGCCCACCTTCCACCCATGAAGTAGTCAGATTTTAAAAAGAAACATTTAATAGTATTAAAACTTAGTACGTTAATCGAAACGAGAATTTTATTACGGATCGGTTAAAACTCGACGAGAAGATCCACCGGTTCCCTTTTTCCAATTTCTACTGCAAAAACAATTAGCAAGAAAATTGGGACACATTCAAACGACCTCTCACACGATAACCTAACCTATACCTAACATGGTCACTTTTATGGTAAATGACATGGTCGGAAATTTTACCTTCCCCTCTCGGATGAACCTGCCTCCATTGACGTTCACTTGTTCGATGACGGGGGCGCGTTCGTAGACGCTATTCAACAAATTCTGAAACCAGAAGTTAGCCACATTTCACTCAAAAATCCAAACGTACCCTTGTGGCTTCCAGATGTTCCTTAGCTCTATCTTTAATCGGTTGCAAGTTCTCTAACTTTCCGTACTGTTCGTCCAACCACGAGTCCTCACTCTCCTTAGGCTTCTTGTAGTTCTTCAAGAGGTTGTACGCTTGCTCGCAACCGCGCAACCTATCAGCCAACTGCGAACACACGTTGCTCCACCTGCTGTTCAACTTCTGGATTTCTTTCTCTAGTCGCTCAACATCCGTGTGAGGACCGCGCTGGTTAGGTCTCGACTTCTCCGTCAACCTCCTCGTGTTATCAAAATCGTCGTTCAGCTGGTCCATCGCGATCTGCTGCTGACCCACCGCCGATTGCAACTTCAAAAGGTCATCATGGACACCTTCCAGCCCCTTCTCCGTGCTTGGCAACTCGTTAAACAAGGCCAGCTTGCTCTCGAACTCGGAAATCACCAAAGTAGAGTCTTCCATGCCATTCAAGACGATTTCTATGCACTTGAGGCGCTCGATGTAGAGGCTGCTCGTGTTCCAGATGTACTTCCACTTGTCGAGGACCTTTTCCAGGTCCTTTTTGTGTTGAGGGGTCTTCAGGGTTATGCTTCGGAAGGTGTCTTTCACCTGTTCGATCTCGGGTTCCAGGTTTTGGAGCCGCGATTCGAATTCTTTGTGTTCGAGGACCAGGTGCTGAAGCGTGTCGATGTCTCTGGGTAAGTGAGCTATGACGCGCTTGTTTATGATGCGCTCGGCTTCGTCCAAAGCTTGTTGGAGAGAGGAAACCTGCTGGTTGAAGATGCGGGTTTGGTTTTTGCTTTCCTCTGAAAAGGGACAACAAGAAATTATTGAAATGTGACCTATTTTAAGCTCTGAAACTGGTTGGCAAACGCTTCCAACGCTGCAATTTGCCAAAAGAATAACAGTACCTATTATTGTTTTGATTTGGTTTCTAGGATGCACGCTAAACCACGCGAAATATTTAATTTAAGTAGATAAATAAACACAATGATTTAAAAATAAGTAACTTATTAAGATGTTACACCATGTGTGCAATAATAACAAAAACTTACTTGACACACAGTTTTGATAATATTTACATTTACAAAAATTAAAATTTTCAAGCCAAAATTATTCATCTTTGATCACCTAGATCAGATATTATTACCTATTATATCAAAACAAAAGATCAGATCTAAAAATAATTTTCAATATAATCGTGCGTTTAAAAATAGTAATTATCAAACTCTTTCAGTTTACTGGAAAATGAAAAATGAACAACTGTCTACTTCTCATACGGTTGATGATCAATATGATCACTTTATACAAATAATCTTGAATTATTATAATTAAATTTTCCCATCATTATGTATCCCGGCACGGTTGGATGGATGAGGAGTTATCACGTGTAAAACAGATGGTCGTTTTTGGTAGAGTGCTGTTCCACGAATCTAACATTTGAAACTATGCAGAATGAATATAAAATCTTTTATTGGAAGAGAAAAAACATTTTAGTGATCATTTAATTATGAAACATGCCACGTTATAATGCTGGTTTTGGTACACCGTGCATCCTTTTCGGAAGTCCTCAAGGACAGTTATTTGTCTATCTAAAATAATTCCTGCAGAAAACTCACCTTCCGCTCGGGCCCTCTTCTCGAATTCGTCGAAAAGTCGGTTAACTTCGTCCATTTCGCGTTTCAGTCGTCGCAGCTGGGGATCGGACGGATCCCCTTCGGCCATGATCTTATCAGCGTCTTCGTTCAGCGCCCTCCTGATGGCATTGCGCTGTTCGGCCCCTATGGCAATGAACTGGGGCAGGTCCCACCCCTTCACCACCTTGATGGTGGCGAAGATCATGTTCTGCCTCAATCGCAGCTGTTTTTTCTGCCATAGAGCGATCGACCTGTCGTATTGGCGTCGTAGGCGCTCAGCACCGTCGATGGCGTCCTTGTCTGGGGGCGGGATGACGAAACAGACGCCTGGAACTTGGGCTTCGATACCCTTTTCGTTGTGCACGCGCCACTTGATGCGGCCGGAATTGTCCGTCAAGGTGCATTCCTTGTTTTTCTCTATCACAAACTGGAAGGCTTCGTCAGAAAAAATTGTGGTTGAAAACAACTATACCTACATTGTTTTGTTTGTAATTGCAGATGGAGACGACGGTGAGTGCTCGAGTCACCGGCTGTCGCCTCTGCTTCAACGGAACGATTTCCTGGGACCTAGCGATCAGGGTTTGGACTTGGTCCCCGAAGGAGTTGAGTTCGTCTTTGAGAGTCTGCATGCCTTGGAGGAGTTTCTCACCGACGTCCAAGCTGAAGTCACCTTGACTGAACTCGGTATTCATAACGTCGTCTTTCCTAAACAACCAAAGTAAGTGATTAATATTAGTATTGAAATTTCAGCCGCGAACTTACTCTTTGAGCCACTCTTCGGCCGTTTGCACGTCCTTGAAGAACTGCTGATACGTGCGGGTGTTCTGGAGATGGGTTTCGAGGCAATGGGTGAGCTGGAGAAGCCACGCCCACTGTCCCTGCATGGCCGCGATGTGAGCCTCGATCGCCTTAGTCGCTGGGTGGTTTTGTTGTTGGGTGAGGAACTCGCCGCGCTCCTGGATACCGTTGAATTGGTCCTCGCGCTTCTCGAGTTTATTCATCAAACTCTACAACAAAAACCGATTTGAGCGTTCTTACAGCACGGAAACGCGAACTAGGTTACCTCGTAGCCCGATCCGTAATTTTGCTGCGGTTTTGAATGAAAACAAATGATTAGTGAATGAAAATGTAGGGGGTGGAGAAGGTCGTATAACGGTTCGGATGCGCAAATTATCAATCACTTCCCGACAAACAGGTTTCGTTAAGAAAAAAAGCAAACTCATCAAGAGACAGTTAATGGCACTCTAATTACGTAATTACCTCGTAGTATTTCTCCACGGAATTCACGTTCATCTTCACATCGCTCCAATCTCTCGTCACTTCGACTTCCTCTTTTTCGTTCAACCACTGCAGCTCGGCGGTCGCGGATTGGATAAAGTCGTACAGAGTGTCCAAGTCGGTCATTCTATTCGTCGAGAAGGACAGCAAGTCGGCGTAGACCTTCTGCAGCTGACCCAAATGCTGATTGTAGAGAGCTAATTCTTCCCCGCTGAAGTATTGACGGGCTTTAACGCAAACTTCCACCTTGGAGTGGTACTGGTCGATGTGCTTGTGTTCGTTCTGGTGGAAATTGCGCTCGGCTTGAACCGACTGAAGATCGTTTCCATAATCGGCCTTCTTCAGTTGTTTCTGCAAGCCAACCCCTCAACAAAATCCTCTCACACTCACTCCATACTTACCAATTTACTCTTGCACCACTCGATGTGCTCCTGCAAGGACCGGAAGTGCGGGTTCGTCTCCACGTTCCTCGTTTCTTGAACCGTCCTAATGTGCTTCGTGACCGTCCGCTCCTCCACCGGGAAACTAAGGTTGGACAGCGGTCCCACGATCTTGTTGTGCAACAGCCGCCTCAAATGGACCCACCTCTCGTGCAAATTCTTCACTCTTTTGTCCAATTCGCTGGCTTGCGGGTACCGCCCGTTCCTCAAAGTGCTAACATCTCCAGTCAGCCCTTGAATGCTGGCTTCCGCGTTGGCCAAATCTTGGTCCAACTGATCCGCGATCTTTTTAGCTTCGAGGGGATGCATTCGCTCGATCCTCCTCGACTCGTTCCCTATCGTACGCTCGATTGTGTCCAATCCAGCGTCGGTCTGTTTGATTTCGCGGTGGACCTTCTCGGCTAACCTCTGCAGCTTTTCCAGCCGCTTGATCTCGTCTTGTATATGCCGGTCGCGCTCCTGGTACGCGCCCATGAGCCTCTGCCAATTTCTTTCGATATTGTCGATGTGGAGTTCGGGCTCCACGTCCACTTCGCCGATCTGCTTGAAGTACTTCTCCAGGTCGCGGAACAGCTGGGTGAGGTAATTCTTGTCCCTCTGTCTTGGTGGAATCTCGTCTGTACGGAATCTTGAGAGTTCCGTGGCGATCTTTTTCATCTCGATGAGCGTGTTGGGGAATGAGCGGTCTTGCATCAAGCTGTACTTCTCGCGTATCCAGATGTGGAGCGAGGAGGCCAGCTCGCGGTATTCATAGACGCGTTGTTGGGCACCCGAGTCGTATAAGGGGTGGATGGCGGGTGGCTCGGGGAAGACCTCGTGCAAAGAGGAGATGTACGTAATGAGTGACTTCTCATCGGGTTCATGAGTGTCAACATCTGGAAAGGCAAAAAAGTTACGAATTTGTGTAAGGATATTATATTCACTATATCATTAATATGTCCTGATTGTCCAAAACTTTTGTCACACATAGCAAGATGAGTTAAAAAAAAATAAATAGAGTGGGTTCTACAGAAAAGGACTGATTCGTTTGATAGTGTCAAAGTATCATCTTGAAGATACTGTGTCTACCATTGGTTCTGGCTTGATCTTACGGTATGCTTTATCAATCTGCTTAGATTTTCAATCCAGAATGGGTGCGGAATGCGACAGGAATTCGCATTCAACCAAGCGGTCAAGGTCCCATGCAAATGCATTTTCCGAGAAGACCACAACCGCTTAATTAAAAGTCTAATTACAGTACTTTGTTCTTGTTTCGGTGCCTGAGAACAAATCTACAGAACTAACGACCGAACACAATGATGTCATCTCAGGTGGGTACAACCCTGACACCGCTTTCACCCGAGGTAAAAAATTTTCACGTTCCGCAAACATGTACCTTCTGGATCCAGCAGTCTGGTGACTCCGTATTCTCTTTCGGCGATGTAGAAGGCCGTTTCCATGCGCTCGCTGGCTCTTTGCGTTTTGACGGTGCGCCAGTCGATCAAATCGGGTCTGTTTCGGTGGATGATGGCGCTGAAGGCAAGTCCATCTCTCCAGGACTTGGTGAAGTCCTGGACGTGGACTCCTGGGTACTTGTGGGTGGTGCGTTTCGCCCATCGGAGGAGGTAGTCCTTGGCGGAAACGTTAGGTTCTTGGCCCACCACGATGTCAGAGATCTGAAACGACGGAAAATTCACGTCAGGTGTGTCTAAATGAACGCTATGATTCAAGTGATTCAAGAGGAAGTCGTTCAGTTTCCTGGCGGCTCGACATAGAACGCAGAGGAAAAGGCTGGATTTTTTTTGTAGAGACTTAGGCAAATCATAATTTGCATGCAATTATGGTGTGAATGGTGCGAAATGCACACCGTAGGAGTTCTGGAGGCTGGATATGTAAATTTCGTAAACTAATTACCGCTGCATTCTTGCCTGACCACAGCTTCCTAACAGTACTCTAGACCGTCGTCTAAAAATGCGTGATGTCATACCTATTTTTTTCCTAATAACATCATTCACGATTAATTTACAACCCAAATCGCGTAATAATGAAGAATAATAGCAGGAAACCCCGCGATCATTCAAATTTTTATTGCTTCAACCTTATGTTCTGATTTCGATTTTAATTGGTATTCCGGTGTCTATTTTTACAGAGCGGAAAATTGACGGGAGAACGTCAAAGGCGTGTCTCTGCGGATGTGCCTAATGGTGTTAGAATTAAAAAAAAAAACATCTGGTTGTTTCATGTACACACCTACTCTTAATTGGAGGTAATTGTGATATGAAGCGCACCCGACTTAAGTATTTAAATGTGGCTTAATAACAGCCTATTAGTCAGTGCTTCGGGTAAAACGAACAGCACGCCATGCTTAATAATGTTTAAGGAAGCAACGAACTCAAGGATGTGTGGCGGAAAATTAATTGTTTGGCAGTGACCGATAAGGAGCGTTTGTTTTGCATAATTTGTGTTTTGGAAAGCAAATTTAAATATTTGGCTGAGTTTAACACAGAAACGATTTCGAGGAAAAGATTGGTTTCGGTGCAGAGCACACTAATTCATATACAATGACAATGGTGCAGTGGTGCAGTTGTTCGTAATTAAGTACACAGTCAGTTAGGTGTCTACAATAATCGAGGAAACAACCTTGGTGGAAATGAGTCGCGACTAAACAGATTGTCCTAAGTGTTGGGACGTGTAGTTTAATAAACACTAATTAAACGATAATGTATAACAAGTTCATAAATATTCTTCCAATGTTCTACATTTTATGGGTATTCTCCATTGTGGCTGGATTTATTGTCGTTAGTTAAGCTGCCTGTACCCTTGAGCTTTCCAGCGGAAATTTATTCAACACGATTTTGAACTTAGACACCACTGAATCATGTAGCGCAAGGCACTTTCGTCGTATGTCACACATTTTAAGAAAAATTGGCCTCAACATTTGCTAGTAATTCCCTTCGAACCAACATCCCGTTCATGCCAAAGCATATTTTTGCTCAGTTGCTCTGATTTTTGACGAATAACTTGAGAAAACTTATTTATTTGAACCCCCCATTAGTGTCACGACGTAAACGGCGATCCCTTTGAGTACTTTTCTATTCTATTCATTTATTTAGTTTTTATCAAAAAGTTATAACTTATATTCTCTTGGGAGCGTTAACTGCACTCTTTTTCTCAAAAGACCATTAAACCCCTTAATACCCACTCGAGACGCCTGCACTCTTAAACAAACACTCCGAGTGCATCGAGTGTTCGATCTAAGCTCATCGTGTTAAGCATTCTCAAGAACCCAGTTAAACCCATTAAATGCATTAATCACATTTTTCGAGCTTGTCAAGCGAAGTCTGCGATTAATTTAAACGAGATTTATGGATGCAAATTTTGGAAGCGGTCCACATTTAGATCTACTATAACGATATACCGGGTCTTCCCGTTATGAATGTTGATGAGCAACTTTTAATCCGAAAAAACGGAATCCGAAATTCCGTTTATTTTGATTTGTTGGTGACAGGAGCGACTGTGTTTTGTAACGTTTAAATAAACATTGCCAGATCAAAACAAATGTTTATTTTTACGGTGACATAGCTGAATAAATAGTGAGGTAAAAATAAACGCACATCATTAAGTTTGATTCGAGGTATTCAACGCTTTAAATAAACAAAGGTCGTTGGTGTTTTGTTATCACTTCCTCCATGAACCAATCATTATTATTAGCGAAAATAACTTATAATGCAAGAATTAGCTGGACCGGTTTGAGAATACAATATTCGTTTAAATATGCAAACCTCCATCCACTCTCTAGAAAACTCGGGCCTTGCACACATCAAGTTCTTGACCAGCCAATAAATCAAAGCGTGGGTTCTAAACAAGTATTAGTCCCAATATGGAGATGTAACGTTTGATTAGGCGTGTCTATGGATGTCAATGTCGATTCATGCAAATAATAATGTTATTATTCCGACATTACCCACTAGAGGTTTTAAAAGCCAAGAGAGCAAAAACTTTCACGTTTAGACACACCTCTTCAGCGTGTAAAATCGCGAATGAATCGTTTACGTAACGATGAAATTGCATCCGCCGCTACTAAAATTTAACCTGGATTTAGCGAATGAACCTTCTCTGCCGTTATGCAACGAAGAGTCCAGTCTTACCACATTTCCTGCGGTTCGCGAGCAATATAGGTGAGCAGGTTGGGATATGGGTGAGATCATGCGTTGGGAGTCGGTCGAGAGGTGATTTGAATGGGAAATGAGGCGCGAAGTGTCCCTGCTGCATTAATATTAAACAGTTGCTGCATACATAAAACAATCGATTTTTTAACAAAAAGAATCAAGTGAAACACAAAATTGGTTTGTTGCAAAAGGTGCTTATGGTCACGGCACCAACTACTCAAAATTCGTTACGACAAGAAGAATTTTACCTCTTTTAATTTAAATCTTGTCCACGAACACATAAATAAAAATGAACTACAGGAACTTTGACTCAAAATTTAATGTTAACTTTTTATGTCAAAAAACCGCAAAATGTTAAACTGCATTAAAAGGTGAACGATCTATTTTTGAGTACAATTGTATTATATGGTGACTGAAACATTTGGAATATAATTGTAGTTGCTTCATATTCATGTAGATTTACTAATTTTTTTTTGTCATTAATAATTAACAACATGAAAATAGTTCCTTTTAAATCGTAGTCACGGCACCAACTCCACGTCAAAATCGACCAATAAACCGCAAACTCCAGCACCGAAAACAGCAATGACGTCATAATCGTCACTGCGACCCCTCGCCCTCCACCGGAACCCGTTACATCTCAATCTTCAAATTCACGAAAAATCCGCCAAAAAAATCGGCGTTACGTCACGCCTCCGTAAATATTGACGATGTCATAAACAATTAAAACCGCAAACAAGAATGTATCCTCGCATCAAATATAGTACCCAACCTTGACTCGTTTCGGTTGTACGGTTTCCGTAGCTCTAGCCACATCCTCCCTGCTCTGGATGCTCCTTGTGGCGGCCCTTCGGGTCAAATCCTCCGCTGTGCTCTTCTCCTCGCCGCGCGTCAAAGTGGTCACTTTTCTCACTATCCTGGTGGTTATTCTGCGAGTGCCATCCTCAGCTCTTCTACTGGTCTTGGTGGACTCGATCGAGCTCCCCAGGACCTCGGTGGACAGCCGCTTCTTCGTGTACACGGCCTGGAGATTATCAATCTCCGCTTGGTCTGAGAAATGGGTGACTATGGGCGGGCCCAGGACCCTCGAGGACGAATCCTGCGACGCCCCATGGACGAAAAGCCGCTTGGAGGTGGTGCTCTTGTTGCTATCCTTAACGAATCGGTACATAGACATGGTGCATCTTCAGGAACGGCAGCAGGAGTGGATTTGTCTCACAGGATTGAAGCTTTTTTGAAAATTTTTGCCTTCGCACTCGCGCACTACCGCGGCTATGTTGACATTTGCAGCAGCCAGGTGTTACGTCAGGTGAACGTCGGTGAATACTGACGGATCGCAGTTAGCCTTGCTCGTGAAGCGTTGCAACGTGTGTTGGTGGGTACAGGGCCGTACGCGGGCGGTTGGGGCCCCTCTACTGCACATTTTCCGACTTGATCGACTTGTTTACTTATTTGGTTGGCAGTATAGTGGAAAAATGTGCGAGTGGAATTTACGCAAGAAAGAGTGATAATTTGTGCGTCGTGCCAGCTCTCCTTTTAGAAATTTCCATCAACTTGATTGTACGAGTGGTACTAATACTCAAGACACCTTCCATCGGTAACTCCCGCCGGAAATACGAGCAACGGACCGGAAATAATCCGGTGCGCACGATAAAATAAAGCACGTCCGGCGTACCAAGGCGAATATGTTTTGGGTACCACATGCAATAAATCGTTCTGATTTCAGCCGGTGGTACTTGAACGAAACAACTGATAATTTCAGATGATGAGGAAACGCTTTGTCGACCATCTGTGACCGTCTGCAAGGTGCAACTCGGTGATCTATTGTTGTAGACACTTGTTGCAAGATGTGAGCACAAATTGTTGCAGGTACCGTATTATTCCAGGCTTGCGTCACTAGATGTAATCGGGCCAGGTCATTTTTTACTTTCTTAATTAGACGGAAGCTGGAGAAGGGGTTCGAAGACGATTGTTGATAACATGGGGTGTTTTGAAATACTTTCTTTCACTGATAATTAATTAATAGCTTTGAATTTGTTTCGTTTATTTATTTCTTGCTTTACTTTTGCTATAAATAGCAAGTGGTCACGTCGGCATCCGTTCCTCGATATAAGTCCTCACATCCGCTAGACTCACAAACTCTCTACCATTCTCTATTCATCATTATTGCTATTTTCTTGTTATTATTTCTCGCGTTTTTATGAAATTGTCTTCAGTTTCTTTCTTATCCCTCTGTAGAGGTGTTTTTTCTAATTCTTACCGTCACTCATCCCATACTTACACTGAGTAATCATCCCCGTCAAAAACTTGATAATCATCTCAATATTTTGCCACTTAAACCCTACATCTACACCCTTTTATTAGTTGAATTAAACGAGAAAGTGTTCGTTAAACTCGAAAGGCTTGTTCGATTTATGCAACCTACATCTCGCTTTTGTCAATCATTCGTTTTAGCACGAGTGAGATTATTCTGATTGGTAACCTTTCAATTGGAAATTAGCTTTGTCAGTCCAGAGTTGGTCTGTAACGACCAATCAAGTCTGCACATTGTTAGCTGGCCGAGCCAGTATTGTTCTGGTCTTTTGTGCACGCTCTAAAAGCGACTACTAACCTTATTTGTTTGTTGAAATTAATAATTAAGTTGTCAATGCGTCGATTACCTCGATTGTTTTGTGGCCAGTGGCTGACAGCAACTGGAATTTTTATTGTGCGCTCAAGAAAAAAAAAACAAATAGAACTCTAAATCGAAATAATAATAAAAAAATTTCATGTATAACAATAAAGTCGTAGACAAAACTTGGGGACAAAGAAAGCTCACTTGCGTCAAAATTTTCCGGAGATTCGTATATTAATGTCAGACGTGAGGTTAGCCACAATTCAATGTGGTAAAAATTAGGTGAACAACTTAATGTCATTTATACGTTAGGTGATGTTCAAATGCACATTATATCTGTAACTTGTGTTCGATTTTAACACTTACGTAGTGGCTAGAGCTTCAAAATTTTGACAAATTAAGTATAGACTATTGCTGCGAATTAACTTTGCCCATACTCATCACGGGGTATCAAAAATATTGAAATCTTCTTTCTAAAGAATAATTTGGTTCATATTCAGATAAAGTATCGTAACCTGTGGTATATACCAGGTTTTTCTAGAGACATGAAACCGATTTGTATGTTCTGGTTATGTGTTTGATATAAAATGAACACCATTTGATACAGTTGCATATGTCATTAATAAAAATTATAAATAATAAAGGTCGCATTATAGAACCCTGAGGGACTCCATCAGAAGCGCAAGATCCATTTATTTTAACAATCGGTAAATGATTTGTGATCTAGCTCTTTATCCAGGAAATCTGTATAAACAAAACAAACTTGAAATTCATTCTCAAAAATATCAACAATGTTACTCTATCCACTAATAACAGCTTCATTAAAAATCAAGACAATAGATAAATTATCAGATTTCCTAAACTGATTATCATAATTCTAAAAGCTTCCAGAATTACCACGGATATCATTTTCAGTGTTATTAATAAAACCATTATAATAATCACTAATTTACCGCTAATTGTATAAAGCTTTTTATTCGCAAGTTTCTGTTTCTAAATTAAACCAAATAGAATTTTTTTGAGGTGTGTTTTTTAACGGGAACAAAGATAATTGTAAAAAAATCAACACCTACATTAATGTCTCCCGTGCGTTCAATAAAACATAATATTTATCAAATCATGGTCACAATTTATAAAATCATAGAAAATACTATAGTCGTTAATAACAATAAACTGGTTTTTTGGTAGGTTGGTGTCAACGGTTTTAACGATGTATCAAAGTCCGACAATTCAAATTATTTCACGACCACGTGCGTCCATACTCCCATCAAATTCAATTTGGTTAAACGCTAAATCGTGCTCCCACAGCCGCCTTATCACTCCAAATAACAAACCGCCTCATTAAAGTCAAACATGCTCGATCAAGCGGAACCCCATCTCTAAACACTCAAATCCGTCCTTCCTCCACCGCATAGCAACTTCCGATTAAGCCCTCTGCAGAAAATTCCGTTCCCGTGACCCCCTGGGAACTGGATTTTTGCGTGTTTTGACTCTTGATCTCAGATTAGGACGCTTCGAGTTTTCTTCAGTTTTTGTCGGGACAAAGCATAACTGTGACGCTGGAGCGAACGCCCACAATTATCGCTTTATCTCAGGTCGGGCTTATTGGAAAGGTGGAATAGCAGCGGTATGAGATCATTGTGATGTCAGCTGGGTGATTTATAAAAGCGGGCGCCGGTTTTTTTGGGTGCTTTTTTTTAGAAGGTTGGTAATGGTAACGGATGGAGCGTAACGGATTTGGACATTTGGTGGCTGGGCACGATTATGGTGACGTAATGGACAGAAAAAGTGGTGGGTTGTGACGGAGAATTTATGTCGTGTTTGTGGAGTCATGCCACAGCGCCTCTGGTGGTAAAAAATGGCGAATTAAATTGTTAAAATCCATGAGATCGCGATGCGGAGCTTTTTTTTGTGTTTGTGTAAGTCGTGGTGGCGATCGTGCGAGGTGAGTTTAGACACAGTCGGGCCAGCTAACAATTAAGTTATGCAACATTTTGAAAAGTCAAAGAAAGGCCAGATTGCTTCGTCGAGTTTAATTGGTACTTGTCATAAAATGGCACATATTGAATCAGGTACGGAGGCAGGACCGGACTTCTTGGCGGCTCAATTTTATCAATTTTCATGACTTGAATAATCTTTATACTCGTATTTTCAAGTGTTTATATTTTTCGAAAGAATGAAGAAAATTTTCCAAATGTTTCCATTTTCAAAAAATTTTGTTTTTTTTAAACGTTATATTTTTGTAATTCGTAACATGATGAATAAACCTTAGTTAAAGATTTTTATTTTGTCAAAATAAATAATCTTAAATACACACTTGTCAAGGATACATTTTTAAAGATTCCTCCGTAGATTTTCAAAAATTTTACACTTCTTTGAACAGGAGAAAAATCCAATTTGTTATTCTCAAAATTTCCAATTTTTTGTATCCTTTAATATGTTTATAGTGTTATGCCTTTCCAAACTTATTTCTATTTTCGAAATTTTCAAAGTTCGTCCAAATTTTTCCAAAACTTTATGCAAGATAACAAAATTTTGTTCTTAATAATTGAAATTTCAATTCAAGGAATTCCTCTGAAACTGAAAACTTCAATAAGCTTAAATTTTTAAACCTTGTCCCTGCCAGCTCAAAGATTTACAAATTCAGGTGCAATATATTTGTAAAAAATAAAATCCGGAAGATTTCATCAAACCTTGTCAAAATTACGAGTAGCTAGGAAAAAAACGCTAAACAAAAACATCATATTTTTCAACTTAGTCCGTCTCTGAAATATCTAAAAACTCTCCTTTAGGCATCCCGAACCCGCAATTACCCATTAACACACCCATTATTTAGCCAGTGGCAGCCCATCAACGTCTCCCACAAGGCCGCGCCAAAAAACCCCAATTACTCTCTCCACCATTCATCGTTGCCAAGTCAACCCTTACATCAATTACCCAACCTCGCCAAGAAGGTCAACCCTTGGCGCCTAAATTCCCCAGCACGTTTCGTAAAACCTCCTTAGCATAATTTCGCCACATTCATCATGGCCATCCATTATACCAAGAAAACAGATTTTGACACCATATGGCGACACGACGTGGGCCGTATTTGAAATTTGAAGTGTTATTTATTGAAAGAAACCTCGCGACACTTTGCCAAAACCGCGCCTGACTTTATATGGCCAGGATTGTTATACCGCGTGGGCAAAAAACTTCTTCACCGCAAAGCAAACAGTGACGAAAGCGCAAGAACTTAGGGATTTTTGCGTCGCGAGGAATGTCAAAAGGAGCACTAGCTGCTTTCGAATAAGGTAAAGATCTCGAGTTTCTAATGAATGCACATGAAAGTTAATAGAAAAGTGACATTTGATATTTGACCTGCACTGTGCTTTCTATTCCGTTTTTTCTGCTGGCAAACATGCCCTGCACCACTATATCTGTCAAACCAAAAAAAAACAACGACCTATTTCACACGCAACGATATAATCGAAAAGTCGGAATTAATTAGCTATCCTACGATTCGAATCGTGATGCCGCATGCAGCGCCGCCTATCTTGCATTAACTGAACTGCCATCGCCGCCGCGAACCAAACCTGTATTAGCCAGTTCTTCAGCGCTACCAACCGTCGGATGAAATGCACTAGATTTTGATGCAGCAGGTGAAATTTTCTTACCTTTCGTGCCTAAACCGACCCGTGAGCATAAAATTAGAAAATTTTCGATTATAAGTCTGTCTGGAAAGTCATGCACAGAGAATGCAAAATGGCGCTTGGAAAAGAACTGGCTAAATCCAATGATACCAACAGAAAAGTTGTAAAAACTAAATGAAAGTCAAGCGCGGCAGCCGGACGTACCTGGAAGTGTAGGATGATTGTCCAAATGAGGCCTAGGGTGAGTTTTGGGTTGCCGTCGACTATGTCTTCAGATCGGATGTTGACGAGTTTGATTTTTTTGCAGTGGAGGAAATGCAGGGCCGTGTCGATGTTGTGGAGCATATGGAAACGCATCTTTCCTCTCTCTCTTGGCTGAAAAAAAAAAGTTAATTAATATCATAGGCTTCTCGATTATTTTTTTTTTTATAGATCTTAATAAAGACGTTATCTTGGGTGGCAAATAGCACGCTAAATGTTAAAAAATGTAGATTTATGCTTAGCTGTCAAGACTCGATACATAAATTTCTTTAAATATAATATACAAGCCGCATACAAAAATTACAACAAAACTGTCACGTGTTCAATTAAAGACCTAACGATAATCTTAAGTTCTTTCCCTTCTCCGTCTCTAAAAATAAACTTTAAAATGCTTACTTATGTCGTAAGTGGGATTATTACCATACGTTAGGCGTTAGTCGAGTTGTGCAATCACATCAATACAATAATAATGCATTAGTCTACATTAACGAAGAAAATTTTATCTACGACTTCAGAATTGATTCAAAATCAATTTAAATAAATGAAATAAACAATTAAACGAAACATTATTTATACGAGAACGTATAACGTAAACAATGAATTGTTTACCTAACTCAAGTCAAATTTATTCCATTGTCCTAACAGGATATAAAATGTACAAAACAAGAAGAACAATGTTGACAACAAAAAAATTTTGCATTCAAAAATTAAGTAAACACAATTGTGTTTGAAAGTGAGTACAACCTGACATTTTTAAAGTCAGAAACTTACAAAAAAGTCTTTTAATCTTCCAAAAATATTTTTTAGAATTTCAGAAATTTGGTACTCTTATTACAACAAAACCTTTTTTTTTAATCTCAAAACATTCCTATTCTTTTCTCAATGAATGATAAGTTTGTAGTACTAGTCTCCACAGCCTTATATGCAGAATGAATTTCTTTTTAATTTCAATATGCAGAATAAATTTCTTTTTAATTTCAAAACGTTCTATTTTCAACAAAAATTTCCACTTCTTTTTTGCTTTTCAGTTTAGGAAATTCTAACAACAGCCACAAACTATACCGAACAAAAGCCATGCCCAGTGTATTACGCATATTTTGTACTCTCTCAACCCGTCATAATTTAATTTTCCTGATAAATCGGGAGCATCCGTACGCCCGTTTTTTACCACAGAAAAAACATAATTAATTAGCGCCATAAATACTGGCAAACTGTGTGTGAAGTCTGGATGTAGCACATGTGCTCTTCTGCCCGCTAATTAAACTGAAAACGGCGTTTTTGTAGACCCCACGAACACAACTTTATCAACTTCTCACAAAAAACCAGAAATTACAGTTCCTTCTTAAATAATCCGTTACAAATGCTGCGGTTTTTACACAAATCTATAAAAATAACACACATTATAAATCAGAACCTTGTACACGTGCAGCATGTACTAATCCACGGCTATAGATTACGTGGGTTGTAACCTTCACTATTCTCCATTTCCAGCAAAACCATTTTCTTTGTGTTTTCACCCATTTTTTTCAAGCCGCCATACCATCACTTTCTTCACCAAAACCCATCATATGGTTTCTGGTGCGTGGAAAGTAGTGCGTCTCGGGCTTCACCTTCACCTTTCCATCGCAATTGTTTTGGGGAATTGCGATCTCACCTTTGCTCGACTCGGTATAATCATAATGGATAACCACCAAGTCTCATTAAAATGCAAGAAGAGACGTTGAACCCAAGGACGAGTCGATGATGCTCCGAAATGAATGAATGACGTGTAAGGAGCCATCAGGAGAGAAAAAGAGACAGAGGGCGTCTCACTCAATGCGTCCATTTTTTTCTTTTAATAACATCGTTTCCCAAATACATTAATGAGATGTAAATTTTAATGGTAAGTACGTGGATGTTTACTTAAATCGGGCTTTTGTTCGTAATGAGTGATGTATGTGGTGTACTTATGACTTATTGTGAAAGCGGTATGCCGCTATGCGTAATGCCAATGGACTTGTTCATGCCTTGTATGCCAATTAAAATTACTTATGATAAAACTGTTCATTTTTTTTTATTTATTATGCAAAATTGTGTCACTTTTTATGTTTTCCTTGGACGTAATTTTAATGTCTTGGCACTTTTTTATCGTTTTTTTTTTAACGTAATTTAATGTATGTTGTTTTTACTGCACAATTAATATACAGTGTGTTGGTAAAGTATGGAATTATTTGGATAACATCCAAATTGGATCTCCTTTCCATACATTTTTGGAAATTATCTTCTCATTTCTTTGGTTTTTAATATGGCGACGTCTGCGTTTAATAAAACATTATATTATATATTTTCTGACTCATAAAGGAGTTCATTGGGTCATAATCTTTAGTTATTTATAGAAGCACGATAATTTTTGTATTTTGAACTCTAAAATTTTCAAAATTTATTTTTAGTTCAGGAATCTGCGGAATCTATAACTTTCCAATAATAAAAAACAAACACATTTAGAACTACCTTAAGCCCCATTTTTTCACTGGAAAGGACTTTTTAGTGTTCGTCTAGATATTTTTTTGCCAAAGACTAATCCTATGGCATTCTTTGCAGAATAAACTCTAAAGCCAAATTATCCCGAACTGTTAAAAAACCGTTACGGCAACTAATCAATAACCTCGGCGATTCCACCGAAGCCATCTCTAGCATTGTCCGCGTTTCCAGGTCAAATTATTTAAACAAAACAATCAATTTTTTATCCCGCTCGTAAAATAAATAACATTAACATTAGCGCCGAAGTGCTGACAGCTAAGCTTTCACCAACTCAGTCACCGGCTTCCAATAAAAACCTCTATTAGGAAATTAATTACAAAATCGTTTTAATTAATTTGCGCCACAATGACACAAATCGCGTTAAAAACACGACACTTACAAGTTGTTCGCCAGTTAGAACTTCCAAGAGAGAAATCAGATTGTGTCCATCGCGGAGGTCCTCGAAGAGGTCTCTGATTTGTCGATTGGCCTGCAAAACAAAAAATCAGATTAAAAAAAAAAGAAGAATCGAGTGCGACGTGAAAAGCAAACATGCGCTGACTGGTGGAAACGCATTGAGGTTATGTTTCCTACTAGTCGCGCAACACATGCGGCTAATCTACGAAAAAACCATGCAATCACTCCACAACGACCAAACTTACAGATGGCGGACAACATGGCGAATTGTTGACGGTGACGCACACGTGCAGGCACGTGTATGTCTGTAAATTTCGAAAAAACTTGTTATGGGCGGGTTTTTCGATTAGTTGTGGTCTAGACAGTGCAGAAAGAGAGGAAGTAGCACAGACAAAGAACAGACGCGCGTTTGCCGGAAAGCGTCTTTTTGCTTTTTCTTGTACTTAGTTGAGGTAATAACGTCCATGTTTATTTGCGTAAACAATGGCGGACAAATATAGTGGAGGCTTCGCGGTGATGGTGATTAATGAGGTTGTTAAAATTAAGTGGTTTCTCATGGACGAATTAAGATAACGAAGATGTGTACAAAGACATGTTGTTAGCTTCGATTTGTTACTAAGTTCGGATGTCGTGTTTTTCTGGATGACGTCAGGGACTACACCTTCGTACTCCACGCATTTTTTCCCATTTTTAATAATTTATGTAAAGAATGTGTTTATTTACTTATTTTGTTGCATAATTCTCGACCCACTGATCTACTAAATGTGACGAAAACGACAAGAATCTTGTAAATAACAACAAAATATTACAAGATTAAGATCTAAATGGCGCTCTTACAAAAGAAACGCGTCAACACGAAAAATATTTTGTGCACTTTAAAATCTAGATTTCGTTTCGTGGAACTAAAAATTTCGCACTGTGCTGCTAATTTAATTAAATGGGACTTAAAACGTTTACGCTTAAAATAACAGTGTTGTGTTGCTAAAAATTTAAAACACCTACAATTTCAACGTTTCCTCTTCCTGACAACATTGCAAAAGATGAGGATGGAAAATAATCAACAAAAGTTAAATTCTCAAGTAAATTGAAGTTTTAAAAAAAATACAAAAAAAATTACAAAAATATTCAAGGGTACATAAAATAAATTTTCTAAAAGACAAAACAGGTAAGAGATCTTTGAAACCGTCAGTTTCTGTTTACTAATATTAAATCAATCTAGATAACACAATTTACATAAATTCTGAACAATAGAGATAACGAAAACTAAAACTTTAAAGCCACGTGTTACAGAATTTATTCCAATTAATGTTGAAATTTCAAGAAGTGTGCACTTCTTGGCAACGATCAAACACTCGTTTTATTTTCGGAAATCTTCGACAGGCCTCGGGAGACATTCGAAAAACTGCACAAGCACTTCGGGAGTTACCTAGTTACGTATCAAATTTGATCAAAAATATCTGACTTCTTTAAAATTATATTCATAGTTTTTCCCCTTTTTTCCAGCTTGTGAAAACTTCATTAACCGGTGCTACAAACCACTGATCTAATAATAATTATTGCGTTATTGATATTTAGATAAAAAAATAAACAAAACGATATAGAAAATTGTCTCCACCTAATCAGATCTGATTAAACAATTACAATAAAGAACAAGTGTAAATCTCGAGTACTGATTGAATTATGTCTAAACAACTTATTTTTCGCTCAGTCATACACTTGACCTTCCAAAAAACCCAAAACCGATAACGAGAAAACCATTTCAGCCTCCCGTCCATTCCCGGTTTCACAATCACCCTCCCAGCGTATCAATCACAACCATTAGTACGTCACCTCCGACCGACAATTACGGCACCGCTGTACAACTCCGCACGCTTCGACAAAAGATTTATGGAAAATACTTGGAAAGCTTTTCGCTTTCGGCCCATAAATCGCAATTAACATGTTCGAATAATTAACAGACCTGAATACCAACATCCGTACGTTTAAAAATCCATAACGTGTGTTGGCAGCAGTGATCCTTTATTCTCTGAGACCGGCTAACCTGGTTGTGCATACATGGTCGCGATTGACGAAACGCACCTCATTATTCCATCTGTACCTTTAATGGTCTTGATGGAGAAAGAATTTCGTTTTCACCGGGCGACCTCCGCCAATGTTTCGTCGATTCAGCGAGACCGTGAGGAAATGAGCTTTTGGGTGGCGATTAGTGGTACGGGTCGATGCAGGAACGGGTTATTGATTGGAAATGAAAATTATGCAAAGTGGATGTGTGTGAAATTTTATTCACTAGCGATGTACAAAGAAGGATAGTTGTGTTACAACAACAACATTAGTTTCTTTATTAAGATAAGATCTAATCTTTAAAGAAATCTGAAAGCGAATAAAGTTTCCATTCGTTGTATTCTTTCTATGCAACATATATCGTTTTTTGTTTGAATTTTAAATCTTAAATGGAGGATACTTTGACATTTTAAGTTAAGACTAGTCACAATTTAGCAAGAATGCTTTAATTTAAAGACTTCTCTCCAAGTCATCTCTAGATTAGATTGCATTGTTATGTTTTTTTCCTTGACTGCTTTTTTCGTTCTTTACTTCCAACTGTGTCCCCTTTTTCCCGTTTTTTGTTTTTATTCTGAAGTATTTCTTTATCTTCTTGCATATTTTTATGTTCTATATTATCACTCTCTCAGTCTGTCACACTTTCTTGTTTCATGCGATAAAATTGCATGTTTGCATCTTTATTAAATTCCAAGTTAAAATCCTTGCCTGATTCTATTTACAGACTTAAAATGTTGTTTACAGTGCATCGTTTTTATTACCTTTCAGTCGAAAGCTCTTTATTTTATTAACTATTTTTAAAATGTACTCACTTTCTATGTCATTTATTGCACAAATAATCTCTTGTGTTTCATATATATTCCAAACGATTTGATCCAGTCTTTTGAAACTTTTAATCAAAATTTTGATTTTTGTTTTGTGATTATGTTGAAAAGTATAGATCAGAATAAGATCTGAGAATGTCAGTCTTCATTCATTGACTCGATTTTGTCTTTTTGTCAAACTGTTTTTTTTTTGCAAATTTGTCGGAATTATACTGAACCAGTTTTTAGATGGCTACTGAATGCTGGATTAAGTATTTAAAAGAAACATTTTCTACTGAGACTTTTAACTTTACTGTAGAGTAGAAATACTGTAAGAAGGACATGTCAATTCATCGCAACCTCCGTCTTGGGCGTTAACCAGTGGCGTATCTGAATATCAAAAGATGATGTAGTTCTGAGGAGAACCAATTTGAATAGGAGTGCAAAAAACATTCACAAATCACAAAAAGACCAAAGAAAACACGTTTAGATTAAATAACTAGTATCACCAATACAGTTTTCCCCTTCTAAATTTCCAAATGTACCCGTCTAGAAGCCTTTACGTTTACTGCGACGTTTTATTGATGTATACTTCTCAAAGTATTTCCACTTTGCTTACGGTCTTCAAATTTTTTTCCAACGAATCCCTGTGTTTTTACTCCTCGTCAATTGTAATTTAGACAAAAAATCGAAGACTACATGAGAAATTAGATGGTGTAAATCTTCATAGACAATTTTCACTGTAACAAAACAGGTAGGAGTTTCATCCAACTCTTAAATCTTCTATCAATTTTTCTCAGGAAATTCATCTACAATTTTAACGATGGTGTTTTGTTGCAAATGTAATTTTGTAATTTAGAAAAAAAAAACAAAGACGATATGCAAAATTCAGTGGTGTAGATCCTTGTAGATAACTTTCACAATAAACAAATGAATAGTACTTTCATCAGAATCCTTGAATTTCCAATTTTTCTCAATAAATACAACCGCAGCTTTAATGATCTTGTTTTTATTTCTCTAGGCTAGAATTTAGCACAAAAAAATTGGTTGAATGTTATTTCGACAGAGGTTCCCCCGTCCCTGAAGTAAAGGAAAACATATGCCGCTTTTTCGAAAAATTACAAAATTTGATTTTGCGAACTTTATTCTTTTAAGTTAAAATAACGATTTGTATGTAATGTTAAAGTAAATGTAAAGAAACCTACTACGTGTATGTTTCAAGTGAGTTTTTCCTTTACAAAATTTTATAATGACGTCATCAACATTTTTGCAAGGACATTTATATCAATTTGGATACGTGCAGTGTAATACTAACAATAACAGTATTGTATTCTCAAATTTTCCGGTAAACGGAGTGATTCCTGATTTAATCATTAAAATAAATCGTCTTATTCATTAATTTTTTTGAGTCACCCTGTATAAGCAACTCTAAAATTATGAATATGTATAATGGCAAATCACAAGTATAAACTCATCACATGTTGCACAGTTTTGATAGGATTTATTCGGCAAAATTTTAAGATTACGTCAGCAATTTTTTGAAAAGGATAAATAGATATATCTTGATTACAAATTTACCATGCTTACGTTAACTTTAAAACGTCTGCAAGCGTTCAAAATCATTCGATGATTCAATGGAACGATAAATTACAAGCATAGATTTATTTAGCAAAATTTTAAGATGACGTCATCAGTTTTTAAAGGGGTTCGTAAAGGGATAGTTTGTTTCACGATTTACCATGTTTCCGATAACCTTAAAACGTTTGCAAGGTTTAAAAGCATCCGGTTTTGCAATTTCAAAGGTAAATTGTAAAATGTTATACAATTTTGATTTTTTTACAAGGTGAAGGAGTATGTTAATTTATAAAATTTAAATAACATTTACTATTGTAAAAGTTGGGAGATGACGTCATATCATTGTTGGTTGTAGACGATATTCCTAATATAGATACAAAATTTGACAATAATGGGCCCAGTGATTTACGAGATTATCTGTCTAAAAATCGACACAGACACGGATAGACGGCAGACAGACAGACGGAAACGAGAGACCAATGTTTTCGTATTCTATGGGGCAGAAAACGTCGAGAAAACATAAAAGTGGCAAATCGCCTGATGGACTCGATTACAACACTAGTCTAGAAACAGTAAATTGTTAAGTGAAAATATCCACAGTTTGCTCCAAAATAATAACAATAAAGAGGAAAGTAAAGAGTATCTTGTATATACACAGAACAGAATAAAAACCAGACTAAATGCCAATTTGGGAAAAAGGCATCATATATTCGTGTAGTCAAATAAAGGAACAAAGTTAAATATGAATTAATGGTCATTAGTTTTTTCATTTGGAAGCCAAAACTTTGTGTGAAGTCAGTAGGGTAAATAACACCCCCGCGGCCCTTACGCCGGAGGTGGCGGGGTGAGGGGATGTCCCCACAGATCCA